CAGCAAGAAGGTCATCTCATTTGCTCAATGAGAAAGTCCAGAACTATGATAGAGAGTCTTTCCCATCACTTGATTCCGGTTCGGTTATTTTGAGAGACAATGCAGCCTCCTCCCAATCAAGTATTTACCGACATCAGCGTGCCGCAGCATCGTTAAGTCGCAGCCGTCAACGCCCGCCGATCAGCGCTGGTATAACAAGGATGCACATGAGGAGTCGATCATCAAGAACACAGCAGTCCCTCGACTCAGTTTTGCAAGGGAGGAAGTTTTCAATTAGCAGCGATGTTGCCCCACCTTCGACGGCGATGAGTTTGGATGAGACGACTTGCTCTGAGGGTTCTGTTGATCTTGACGATTCTGAAATGTCTCAACCAGCCCCTAAACGGGTATTGCGCAGAAGACCAGGTGGAGATTTAAAAGCCTTCACAAACGTCAGCGAGATCGATAAACTTGCTCTTCGAAGGTCTCAATCTTTGGGCTCCCTTTACACGGACTCCGTTCGGACTTCGCGTTATCGTAGCCTGCGGCGCAATTCGACTGAGCGTATAGACTCTATCGCCAGTCGCGATAATCAACGACGCTCCCATGCTTTCTCTGTAGGGCAGCTTGCTGACAAACCTCAACGCCGCGAGCTGTCGTTCTGCAGCACACATTCGTCGAAGCCAGTTATGCGCCGATCTTTCGAAGCAGAAGCCAAAAAGCTAGCGCGTATCCCAGACGACGATGACGATGGTGGTGTTGAGTCTGCTCTACTGAAACTCGAGGGGAAGTACCACAAGACCCCCAAAAGGTTGCCTTCCCTTCCCGATGCCCTGCGAGCATTTATGGAGCAGGAAGACGATTCTCGTGTATGCAGTTTCGGGGCTGTCGCCCAGCAAGCACTGGAAGACCATGACCAATCTCTCCTTATGGAGGATTCAAATGACATCGCCACTGATGTGATGGATGAACAAACAAGTTTTGCTGATGCCGAGGATCAACTAAAGACTCCAAGACCGGCAAACAAGGTCCAATCATTCCTATCAGACGCCTCCAGAGAATCCTGTATTTCAATTCCTTTACTTCAAGGAGATCCACTGGTCCCGGAGCTGCAGCGCGCGGCGAAAGACTGGGCAGACAAGTCTATTCTCCAGGATTCTGATGATGATCTTCCTCCCAACCAGACAGGTTCCGGTGCTGGCCTGGTCGACTCGACTCATGTCCAATATCTGCCATTTGACCTTGATAACGGAAGACTCGACAGGTCAGAGGCTAATGTGACAGTCCAAGAGGTTTCATCACCATTGGAGGATCAGTCTTTCCTAGACAGCGATTTGTCCTCGGAAATTTCCAACGACGACGACGTTGATTTTGTTGGTGGGGTGCGACTGGATACAACTCTCCCAGCTCATCCTCTGGGCAGCCCCATCACCACCTCACACTTTTCGCCAAAGCCCTTTGTCAATTTGTTGGATACGAGTGTGGGGGTTCGCGCTGTTGCAAGCTCCGGGGAGATTGTGACTTCTCAACATCAACTTCCTCCAACACCAGTGACTACGCCAGCTGGGGCCTCGAGACAACCATTTCCCAACAAAGCTAATGCTGCTGAGGAGAGTAGGAAATTCTCAGTTCACCTTCCATTCATCCTGGCATTCGATTCTGAAACACTGGCGCAACAGTTTACACTCATCGAGAAAGACGCCTTGAATGAGATCGACTGGAAAGAGCTGGTAGATATGGATTGGAAGAATGCCACCAACCACGATTCGCGCTCATGGGTCGAATTCTTGCGCAACAATGATGCCTATGGTGTTGAAGTCGTTATTGCACGGTTCAACTTGGTCGTCAAATGGGCTATTTCCGAAATTGTGCTGACCCAACATATTGAAGAGAGAGCTCGTTGCCTCATCAAATTCATTCATACCGCTTCGCACTGTCGTCGGTATCGCAATTTCGCAACACTGGCTCAACTCACAATTGCACTCTCCAGTAGTGAAATATCGCGACTTGCCCGAACTTGGGAGCTGGTCCCAGCCCAAGACATGAAAACACTGAAGGATCTTGAGGCTCTGGTTACCCCAATGCGCAACTTTTTCAATCTTCGAGCCGAGATGGAATCAAGCCCGGATACACGATGCATTCCTTTTGTCGGAATTTACACCCATGACCTCCTATACAATGCTCAGAGACCTTCGGAGATCGCCAGCTCTCCCACGACAATCCCACTCGTTAATTTTGAACGATGTCGTATTGGAGCATCTGTAATCAAAACGCTCCTGCGTCTGCTGGAGGCCAGTACACAGTATACGTTCATACCCATTGAAGGCGTCACTGAGCGGTGTCTTTGGATCGGAGCTTTGAGTGATGATGAGATCAGACGCCATTCTGGAAATTTGGAATAAGTTTGACTCTTTCGGCGTTGATCAATATAGCATAACTGGGACTCTAGACCAGCCATTATTATGCCTTGGATTTATTCTGGGGGAGCATTCTGGCATGATGGGCGAATTGAATATTTTGCCCTTCACACCCCTTTGGCATATACCTACCCATGGTATCGGACGAATTTTGAAATTGAGGGATCTTTTTTTTTATTACGAATAGCTACAATGTAGCAATATGGCTACAATTAGAAGGGAAGAAGAAGCAGCAGATGGCCGAATTCTTTTTTCATACTTGGCATGATATTATCATCCGTTTGACCCGAGGATGAAAACGACTGATGGTTCTAGTACGAACTGTGATCCTCTAATCCCATTGCTGAGGGAGCATTTGGCGTTTTTCGAAACACTGCAAGATATACATAGAGAAGATGGCATGCGCTGAACTATTGGAGCGAGAGGTTTATTGTGGAAGAAGCTGTTCTCGCTCATTACGTCTTTTTTCTCTTGTTTTCGTTTCTTATCTGTCTCTCTCGATAATTTTTTTTGTCTTTCAAGAGCGCATACGAACCTCTTATAGAGGATGATGGTTACGGATAGCACGCAAGACAATACCCAGAATCACGAGCATATTCAAGTTTTTTTTGCCCTACTTCGACAATGTAGGGACTGCGAGATAATTCATAAATTCAAGAATCATTCGACTTAAACACGGGGAACAATGATGATGCATTTGAGTGATGGGGGAAGCTGACCATCTGACCTGTCTTTGTGTGAATTTCTCGCCAGCCTGAGATCTACTAACATTGGTAAACAGAAGTCATATTGCACATGGATATTCTGGTCAATTTCAGTCAGGTAAACGAACAACTAATTGTTCTCTTTTCTTTTTTTGTGGCTACGAGGGTTTCTTTTAATTTTTTCCTTTTGCTAGTGTGCTCCTGCATATGAATCTCTGGAACATGGGTGGGACAACGATTAAGTCCATCCCCACTGGCCGCACAGGGCTTTCCCTCACCTTGTTTACACCATACAAGATTTTAAAAAAAGTGAGTATCTTTCCCTCATAAGTGCCACCAAGTTTGGCCCCAAGTCCCCCAAAGATAACAACGATGCATATCTTGCAAGCCTTGAAAGCGCCCCTTTTGTGCAATTATGTGACCAAGAAGAAGCACCCCGTTCACCAGGAACCCATGGCATCTCCGATTTCGAGCACGGCATCACCGGACTCGCCAGGAGGTTTCTCAGCGTCCTACCACTGGGACTCCTTGGGGGCCTCGGTGCCGGCGGCACCCCACTCGGTGGTGGTGCCAGTGGCGGCCCAGTCCTCAGTGGCGGCAGGGGCGGCGGTAGCATCCCAGTTGGAGGGGGCAGGGGCACCGGTGAAGCCGGCAGCGGGCGTCTCCCAGTCACCGGCCTGCTGGAAGCCAGAGTCGACGGCGGGGGCCTCCTCCTCGGCGGCCTTCTCCTCCTCGACCTTCTCCTCGGCCTCGGCCTCAGGGTCGCGGTCTGGAGCATTGTTAGCTTATTGTTGCAAAGAGGGAGGCTGAAGCTAGGGGAAGACATACAGAAGTAAAGATCGGGCATGACGTCCCAGGGGGTCTCGCGGCTGTAGATGGTACCACGGAGGCGGAGGACCTCACGGGCGAGGAGCCACCAGACGGTACCGATGGCGTTGCGGGCCTTGTTGTTGGTGGGGATGGCAACGTCGACGTACTCGGTGGGGGAGTCGGTGTCGCAGAGGGCGATGACGGGGATGTTGACGTAGCTGGCCTCCTTGATAGCCTGGGCGTCGGTGCGGGGGTCGGTCACGACAATCAGGCGGGGCTCCTTGAAGGAGCGGGTGATGTAGTTGGTGAAGCTACCGGGGGTGAAGCGACCGGCGATGGGGGAGGCGCCGGTGTGGGCGGCGAACTTGAGGACGGCACGCTGACCGTAGGGACGGGCGGAGATGACACAGACGTCGGCCGGGTTGTCGATGGCGGTGATGATACGGGCGGCCAGGACAATCTTCTCCCTGTTGTGCGAAATTGTTAGAGCGCCAATTCAATTTTTAAATTTTTTCTTGCCAATTTATTTCGCCGCGCGCTGCGTGCGCGGAGGGGTTGGAGCTTCATACCAGGTCTTGCCAATGTTGATCACGTTGACACCGTCGGCACGAGTCTTCCAGAGGTAAGGCTCCATGTGAACCTGGAGGTTCTTGCTGCCGAGGTGAGCCTGCGAGGCCAGGAGCAGCTCAATGTCATTGCTCGTGGCGTTGAGAGCGGCGGGGAGGTTGGAGGAGACCATCTTTGCTAGCTGTCCTGGGGTGACGTGCTTGCGGAAGTGTGAGGTTGATGGGGAGAGAGAATGTGGTGGTCTTGACGAGGATCACAAAAAAGTTCGCGATGCCAAAATTCCCCAAAATGTGTGTGGGAAGAGCCCTGAGTGTATTAGACCTATTATAGACTAGTGAACTTCGATAGATGCGCGATGCGCTATCTGCACGTGATGAGGTAAGCTAGCTCGGAATGGGCTAGAGCGCGGTTGGGGTCAACGTGCGACCAGCCAGACTGGAGCATATGGAAATTTTGAGACGGACGATAGGCGGTACGCAGCTTCAGCTCCATTGACACGGTTGAACGAATTGATGGGCCCACGATGCCTCCCAGAATACAGACACTGCAGGGCCTAAATGGCTTGAGCCGTACGCATATAAATTTCCCATATTTGTGCTGTTATTTTGCTAACAGAAGTCAACCTAGTGTGCCTACGGCCAGCAACGAAACAGACTCCCAACTTCCTCCCCGCCATCCAAACAGCGAATCTGTCAATGCGAGAGAAGAAGAAAAAGCAAAAGAAGGATCCATATGCGTGGGCACAGGCACAGCAGCGCAAGAATGCCAATATACAGCGAAAGGGCGAGATTGCTAAAGAGAAGGAGGGAGAATGGGGCAACCCCGTTGTTGGCAAGGTGACTCCATTCATTGAGTCTCTCGACTCTGCAGGCCAGGCTCCCACCAGCAACGTTCGCAGGGATGCAGATGGGAACCCCCTTGAGGAAGTCCGTGAGCTTCCTCAGGCAATTGGTCTACGAAACCACTATCTTACCGAGGAGGAACTCGAGGACGTCGCAAAGCACGCTTTCAACCTGACAAAGCCCTCGATGGGTGTTGTGGAGTCACAGATGGAGGACACTTCTTCGGAGGAACTGAACGAGGCCCATCTCGAAAAGCACGCCCGGGCAACTGAAGCCTTGAGGAGGATCACCTCCATGGAGAACGCCAGTGGCAAGGACCGACATCACGCCAATGTTCGACGCATTGTCTCGGAATTCGGAAGGCACAACACCGATAAATTCCTGCAGCCCAAGGCCCCGTCCATCAACCCTGATACCGAGCAACGTCCTGATCGTGCCGGACCTGATACTGGCAGCTCTGAAGTCCAGATTGCTATCCTGACGGCTAAAATCCGTGCACTCTCTCAGGCACTGGAAACAAACCGAGGATACAAGGACAAGCACAACCAGAGGAACCTAAGACTTCTCGTCCACCGCCGGCAAAAACTTCTGAAGTACATGGAGAGAAAAGAGAGGGGCAGCGAGAGGTGGACGCATATGTTGGAGAAGCTTGGATTGACTCCAGCATCATGGAAAGGCGAAATCACTGTGTAGCATAATACTCCTTTTTGTACAATACCTGTTTTATTGTAAAAATATCAGTACATTAGCAGATGAGGGACGATGTCCTCCAACACGCCTTTCTATCTACCACCATTGCGCCGAGTGAACTGCTTGTAAAATAAAGAAGACGAAGAAAGAACCATTCCGATCAGCTATCAGCTAGCGATACATTGTGACGAAACGAAGGGCAGTGAAGAGAAGCAAAACTAAGAAAACACGCTAATAAAGTTTCCAATGCGCTCCTTTTGATTCTGAGCAATGCACTCAGCAATCCAGGTGATGTTTCGAATTTCCTGTTTATTCAATTAGCAACTGGTTTTCACCACCGTATGTGTAAAAGAGTCAACTCACCTGTTCTCTCAGTTTCACCCAGGCATAGACGATGGCGTAGGTGAATTGCCTTGTGAAGGCGCCCTTGGAGATCTCCATCTCCTTTTGGTAGAAAAGATCCTCGAGAGACTTGCCATCGGCAGAACCACCGCCCATGTTTCCGGGTCCGGATGCGCCACCTCCGATCGACACGGTGTCGAAGAAGGACTTGTAATCATGAACACCATCTACGGCAAGGCGCACACCTTCCGCATCATCTGCCCGTGAGAGCATCAGGGTTCCCTCAGGATACAGCCTACCAAAGGTGGGGTACAGCTTGTTTCGGTCACCCTTGGTTAGTTCAGTACCAAAGGAGTTCAGAGTGATGTTGATGGCGCGGCGGTCAGCTTCAAATTCGAGGATCTCGGTCATGACATCAGCGGTCGGGGTTCCGGCCATGTCGGGGTGTGTGTTGACGAAGTTGTAAAAGTCCTCCAGGTAGTTCTTGTAGAGCGTGTTTCGGACAATTTCAATGTTCAGCTCATCGAGATCTTGGTGGCTAAGGCTGCCCTTGAAGTACTGCGCCAGGGGTGTCTCGACCAGAACGCTGTTATAAAGCTCTTCGATGTTGGTAGCGACACAGAGGACTGGCATCGTCTCAAACCAACCAAGAGGATGGCATCGCTCGAGGAGCTCGCGGGTGTCTCGCTCGTGAAGGGTACCAGTAATGAGAAGAGCGACGTTGTCAATCATATAGCCGTAGGTGAGGTAGTCCATGAAAGTGGCCAGGGATCCGACAGCGTTGGAACGGACATAACGGAATTCTGAGATGAGTTTGTCGGTGGTCTTTGCGGCCAGGCTGGATGTTGATGGGTTTGGGGGGAGCGACGCGAGGAAGTCGCCGTATGCAGGCCCCAGTTGGAGCTTCAGGTCTACACAAGAGTTAGTACCGGGACCACATGCTGCGCCAGAAGAATAACCAACCATCGATGGTTTCGCATTGGATGAGGTTGTTGTAAGCCGAGCTGGTGAGGAGGCTGTTGCGATAGCCACGGACAATGCCCTCCACGTAACTAATCTCAGTCAGATGATATACCCTCGGACGGTCAGGGAAGGAACGCACCCGTTGTTGACGTTGAAAAACAGTCCCTCCATTGTGCGAAAATGAGAGCTTGTACTGCGTTGAAGGGCGTGATTAGATATGGCAGAACGGTATGCGAGATACAACGGAGCTCTGAGCTTTCGAGGTTTGAGATGAGTGACGCCGGTCAGGATCCACCTTGCGAACAGGTCAGCCACTGAAGATGGGCGCTGCTACAGTAGCCTGTAGGCCACGCTGACCCGTGCCAGGCAGGAATAGAACAGGACACGGCACCAATTAGGCTTAGTGCGGCGTGATTGAGCAGGTAGAACAATCAGGCTGGATTGTTAGTGGTCTATTGTGCACGATCTCGAATTGTGAATAACGCCATTAAATCATAATAAAAGGTGTCTATTTCCGTTCGTTTTCTCCAGCCATTTTTTTCACCCATAAGTTACGTAGAACTAAAGGCTGCATCAACCAGGCTAGCAAACAGTGTAGCAGCAATGGCACTACTAAGTCAACAGCCACGTGATTGGCTGACTGACGCGGTGTGCTGCCGGAATATCTGTACGGCCGTGGTGCCGAAGAAAAACCCACTTACCTGCACTAGGCCAGCACCAAAAAACTTTGAGTGGGGACGGAAGAGAGCTTCTCTATGGGCTGGAAAAAAAAAGTTTCGAAAATTTCTGTTTTACGTCCATCCTCGTGCCTACTTGATTTACACCTTCACGCGCGCGCACAGGAACGGCAACGGCGCCCACTACCAATTTTGAAGAGGGACACTCGTTGAGACTATACTATTGTCAAGATGTCTCTGTTCGTTCTTGCAGAGACGCCGGCAGGGTGCGTAGCTCGTGGAATTGTTGGACAGATTCTGCCTGCAAATTCCTACCCTTTGGACGTGGTCAATTGAAACTAACAATTGGTAGCTATGGCCTGTTCAAGGCTGCCGACAAGAAGTTGTTGAAGAACAATGATCTCGCCGAAGATTTCGCACACCCGGAGAAGTTGGTTGAGATGTAGGTATTCTCCTGAGACAGCCAATTCGAGCAACCGTCTAACATGCTTGTTCCTCTAGGTTGAAGCTCAAAAAGTTCGTCAAGTTCGAAAGCGCGGCTGTCGCACTCGAAGAGGCTGCCTCCCTGAAGGAGGGAAAGGTTCCCGAGCTGCTCTCGTCGCTCCTCGAGGATCTCAAGGCCGAGAAGAAGGCTTCCCTCGCTGTCGCCGACATGAAGCTGGGTAGTTCCATCTCGAACCTCGCCGACTCAAAGCTCACGGCCGTCTCTGGAAGCGATACAATGGATCTTTTCCGTGGTATTCGTGAACACCTTTCATCTCTGATTCCTGGCCTTGTGCCCGAGAATGTCGATCGCATGGCTCTCGGTCTCTCCCACTCCATGTCCCGTCACAAGCTCAAGTTCTCCGCAGACAAGGTTGATTCGATGATCATCCAAGCCATCAAAATGCTCGACGACCTTGACAAGGAACTTAATGTGTACGCTATGCGAACCAAGGAATGGTACGGCTGGCACTTCCCAGAATTGGCCAAGACTTTGAATGACAACGTCGCTTACGCACGTGTCGTCCTGGCCGCCGGCATGAGGACCAACATCGTCGATACTGATCTGTCCGAGATCCTTCCTGAAGAACTCGAGGAGGCTGTCAAGGCCAGAGCTGAGATGAGCATGGGTACGGATATCACCGAGAAGGATCTCGACAACATCAAGTCCCTCGCCAACCAGGTTATTCTCTACACCAACTACCGTGCCGAGCTTTCTTCTTACCTCGAGAGCCGCATGCGGGCCATTGCCCCCAACCTGACTGCGCTCGTCGGCGTCCTTGTCGGCGCCCGTCTGATCGCCCATGCCGGTTCTCTTATCAGCCTTGCCAAGTCCCCCGGTTCTACCATCCAGATTCTCGGTGCCGAGAAGGCACTGTTCCGTGCCCTCAAGACCAAGCACGACACACCCAAGTATGGTATCATCTACCACTCATCTCTTATCGGCCAGGCCACCGGCCGCAACAAGGGAAAGATTGCCCGTATGCTTTCTGCCAAGGCTGCTCTTGGACTGCGTGTCGACGCTCTTGACGAGGAGCTGGACGAGAAGGATGACGAGGAGAAGGCCATTCTCGGTCTCACCAGCCGTATCAAGCTTGAGAACCACCTTCGCAAATTGGAGGGCAAGGCACCTTTGCCCAAGGGTACCAACGTTGCCCCTACTGGCGAGATCATCACCGCTGGCCAGTTCACGCTCAAGGAGACTCGCCGATACAACGCCGATGCTGATGGTGTTGCCGATGACGAGGAAGTCAACGGGGCGACCACCAAGAAGAGCAAGAAGTCCAAGGTCCAGGAGAAGGAAGATGTTGAGATGGAAGATGCCGAGGACAGTGACGATGAGGCCACAAAGACCCCTGCCAAGGGCAAGAAGCTGTCCGAGGCCGACTATGAGCGTCTTGCCGAGGCCGCCGGACTTTCTGTGAAGAAGTTCAAGCGCAAGTACGAGCGAGGTGATGTCGAACTGAACGAAGACGGAACCCCCAAGGTTTTCAGCAAAAAGGAGCTGAAGAAGCTCCGCAAGGCAGAGGAGAGCACACCATCCAAGACCCAGCCTACACCCGATGGCAAGAAGAAGCGCAAGCACGACGAGGAGGCTGAGGAGGCAGATGCCAAGAAGGAGAAGAAGCAGAAGAAGAAGAAGCGCCACTCTACCGAGGCATAGGAGCCTTTATGGAAGAACAAGCGCGGGCGCCGCCTAAAGACTCCGGTTGTTAGGAAGGTCGCCGCTTGATGGCTTCAAACATTGCTGAGTGTGGGCTAGGCCGCTTCTGAGCTGTCTGTAAAATTACGTGATCACTGATGGGGATCTGTGGAATCTTGAAGTGCAGCTGGCTATCTTCGCCGTTCATCGGTTGGCGTTTAGGGATTAATCTGTCTTTCACCTGGGGTTTGGCAATGGCGTGGATGGCATATACTTATCTGTTTGGTTGAACTTCATGCAGCCTATATCGAAATAGCAGCGATAGAGTCTTGTCTATTTTGAATCGATATTTTTCATACACTTAAAAAATGATCCTCCTTGTTTTGAAATACGCCAAGTCCATTGTGTGACACTTCAATCCCGTCATCGCCCGGTCTATTACGAACCTTGGTAAATACTCTCTCATTCATCATCTTACGAATATAAGTTTTTCTCGGCATTGTACCCCATTAGCCATTCGATCTGAATAAACTTTGTGCTTTTCAATTCGGGCATTCAGGCACCGAGGCCCACCATTTGGCCTCGTCATCCTCGAACTTTCGTTGGCATTATGTCTGCCTAAACGCTGTCCTGAAGGTCTCGTGCTACTATATTGACTTGTACACTCTTCGAGCTCTTAAATACGAGAACATTCTCGATAGCCATAACGCTAGAGGGCTCACCAACACATCAAAGAAAAATTGAGCATGTAAGAAATTGCAAACTGAATCCAGTGTCATTAAAACAGTATCATACAGGGGTATCCTGGGGCAAAGAACGAAGGACGAGAGGAGTTGCTCCTCCATCAACGTTGTGAAGCCGGGTATCAGAAAAATATCCATCATCTCATCTCCCATTCAACTTGTGTCTCCGTCCAAACCTGGGGAATAATATTCGGCCGTCACACTAATCATTACCAATCATCAACCCACCACCACCAAGAAAGCTATGTGCTTCCATTGGATTCTTTTTTTTTTCCTTTTCCTTTTTTGTATTCTTAAAATTCCATTGCTGTCCTCTCCAATTAAAGCGAAGGTTGGGGATATCGTATAAATCAAGGCGCAGGAAGCAAAACGAGCGAGAGAAAGCCAAGGCGGGAAATAACGGTTGTCGCGTACTCGAAGGCAAGAAAATACATTGGCTGGAGCAAGCGGGGAGAAGCGGACTCGCGGGCGATCGCAAGGAAATAGGCAAAGTGTTGCTGAAGACGATCATGACACAAACGACGTAGATCTCGAAATCAGGTAGACCAAGCTAAATTCACCAACGAAAGCCCACGAGTCAGCATAATTCACGTCCTTTTCGCTTCGGATAGCCCTTAAAGCTCACGGAGATCATTTAAATGTTCTCAATAACACGAGCGTTAATAGCCTGCTGGAGTCCAGGGTCCTGACCTCCAAAATCGTTGGCACCGGAAGTGGCGTGCGTGCCACTTCCCTCGCCAGTCTCTTGAGCGTAAGCCTGGCTGACAGCCTGGCTCATGGCCATGGTCTGGTTCGCAGCAGGAAGGAAGATAACCTTGCTGTTGGCGGACTTGGCCATGGCTTGCATAGCCTCGAGGTATCTGATTTGCATGGCAGGGGCGGAGCTGAGGATGTCGGCGGCCTGGCGCATCAGCTTGGCGGATTCGACCTGTGGAATATGTTAGCGGTTTCAGCTCTCTCTTGATACTTTTCCGGTTGACACATACCTCTGCCTTAGCGGCAATGACCTTACTCTCACCAATACGCTTGCTCTGGGCGGCCATTGACAAGGATTCCTGGAGTTCCTGACTGAAAATAATATCCTTGATGAGCATGCTCTCGACCTGAACACCCCATCCAGCAGCAACCTCCTCGATGATCTCCCCGATCGACTGGGCAACCTCCTCTCGGCGCTCAATGACGTCCTGGAGGATGCGAGCACCAATAACGTGGCGGAGAGTGGTCTGAGTACGCTCAACGAGAGCCTGACGGACGTTGGTGATACCGAAGGCGGCGATGTGGGGAGAGATGATGTGGTAGTAGATGACAGAGGTGAGGTGGAGGGTGACATTGTCCTTGGTCATGCAGATTTGCTGGGGAACCTCGGCGATCTGGATCTTGACGTCGACCTGGATGAGATCCTCGCTGAGAGGGTTGATCTGGACCAGACCGGGATCAACGGCCTTGTAGAACTTGCCGAACTTGGTGACAAGTCCAACATTACCTTGCTGGACTCTCTTGAAGGGGTTGGGGCAGCAAATGCAGCAGGGGACGGCTCCCATGGTTCCCATGCACGCTCCAAGAGCATTGACTAGGGTTTGTTAGATATATTGGAAGACGAGATAGATGGAGGCGAGGCTGCATTGGCGGCGAACTTACTCATGGTGCCATACCAGCCCTTGGGATTGGCATCAGCGCTCACGACGGTAGCGTAGCTTCGCTGAAGGTCCTCCTGCTTTGGGGGTTGGACGGCCATCCTGGTCTGGGGCTGGAATCCGACCTCCGACTCGGGAGCCTTGGAGGATGTGCCGGCGCCGGCTCCATTGACAGTTGTGGACATATTGGCGGAGTTGTCAAAGTGGTGTGATGGTTGGTGAGGTGGGATCTGGTGGTAGGACTGAGACCTTGGATGTCTTGGACGGCGAGTGTTTTCAGAATCTATGGGCGAAGATGTCATGTATCGACCTGGTGGACGGAAAACTGAAACCGGATGAGGAGAAGGGCGGCCGACACTTAAGTAGACTTGGAGATTTGGAGCCAAGAGAAATTAAAGCAGACTCGTGCTCTGGTTGTGAAGGGTGAGCTGACGTCGCCGCATTGTGAGAGCTACGGGTAGGGGCAGGGGCGAGCAGGAGTGGGGCATTGGGAGACTCCACCTGCTGTTAGCGTGTGGACATGTACCCTCCGGCCTATTTCCAGCGTGGAGGGTACAAGCACGGTGGATGTGGCAATGATTCGCACAAGGCAGCCCCGCACGCCCCCCAGGCTCCAGCTGCTGCTAGGGGCTCCATGCTGCTATGGGCCCCTACCTAAAGTTCACTGCAGCCAGGCAGAGCTGTTCAGTGTTGCTGCCCACGAGTTTTGGATTAGGAAATGATACGATCAACGCGAAGGACATTTTTTATCGTGGTTCCAGTTTTCGAACTCTCGGGGCGTCATGCGATTGGCGGATGGCCGGATCAATAGGCACCTTCATGGAACAGCTGTGCCGTGCTCTTTCACACTTTGCCAAGCCCTGGGCATATTTCGCTTTGGCCAGCGTCGCTTCCATTCTGCTCAGTCCATACCTAGGCGAAGGTCGGACTCGTCACACACAATTGGGCCAAGCTTCAATATGTCATCACATGCACCCTCCGCACATATGCACAGGCTGCATCCAATGTAACTCCCCATTCACACTGGCATCTCGGCATCGAGCTGCCGCTACCGCCGTTTGCATTCACTGGCAATCGCTCACCAGAGCTAATTGGCATCGTTTCACCTCGCCCATAGCGCAACTGAAGTTCCTTTCTTTATTAACATGACTTCAATTGCATCTACTTCGCCCACGACCCGCTTCATCTCGCAAGTAAAAAAAAAAAATATGTAACAAAAAAAAACCAATTTCAGAGCAACACCCCCGCACACTAAAGATCCGTGCTGCCCAGAGATAGCAGAAGGGCTGTGCAACAACCCAACTCAACCCAAGCTCCCAAAGTGCAAATAGCAGATTAATCCCCGGCCAGACGCTACGACTAGTTCGAACAGCGTGACTTGCACAGCCCCCCGTCTCTCTACTCCGGCTTGGCGTACTTGAGATGGGCGTACAGCGTGTTCAAGGGCCCTACAAACCTTCGGCCCCGGGGAGACTGGGGCCGAGCCGGCGATCAGCAGAGAGCGCGAGAGGCCGAACACTCAATATTATCGCCCGGTTTGGCGCCCTACGAACCATGGTTCGCCTCTTCCTGGCAATGCCTACCGTGATGTGATGCGTGTGATCTCATGTCAGCAAACCAGGGCGGGAAGGGTCCACAGAACAGGCCTTCTAGAAGCTCTCTCTGGGGGCGGCATCGTGAAGATCACACCTCCGTCCTTCACGTCATGATGGGGAGCTAGTCGCGGTGAGGAAAGGGGGGGCTGTGCTACACCACCATTGCATTCGGCCGGTCAATTGTCATACCACTATGCCCAGCCAAAGGGTTACATAGACAGGCATGATTGGTGTGATGCGGGAATTGGCACCCTGCGAAACTTTCTTGGCCAATGCCTTAGACGGGAGTCTGAGGAAGGGGCCGGCAGGTTTTCCGTAGAGCGTAGGGCGGCAGGCGAGAAGTGAGATGTAGAACTAAGCGATGGGAAAGGACAACGATTCGGAGTGGACAAACATCCCCACGTGTTGCAGACAACAGCACATTGGTGGGCTTCGTTCAGATCTATGTAATATTGGTCCCACAGCATCATCTATCTCATTGCTCGTAGCTCGTACCTTCATCGCCCGCCAGCGGCCTTCCGTCTCCCAGAATGAGACTCCCATTATTGGGATTTTTGCTATTGCTACAAGGGCCATCTTGCTCAGCCTCGCTCTAGATGCCCGGTGCGTCCTACCCTGCCACGCCTCGGTCAAGATCGCCACTCCCAAGACTGTTTGCCTCTGGAGCTCGTTGCCTTCTCAACCAGTCCAGTCAGCCATGCGCTGGATACCGAATAAGGGAAAAGATGAAGTTATCTAATTTCAGGGTCCCGCATGAAGTCAGGAATGGAGAGTCCCGCCTCGCCGCTCTCTATCCTCGTATCGGCCAATCTCCTCGCGAGGCCGCTCAGCCGTTGACTTGTGTCATCCTGCCCGGCAGAGGGCGCAACCGAAGCGGCCGCAGGGCCGCCAACGTCCAAGAACTCCACCATGTCGGCTATGGGGTTGTTCTCCCGCCCCTGCGCCTGCCCCGAATCCATATCAAAGGCGTATATCTTGATGCCTCTCAGGTGCGTATCCTTGCCGTTCTGGTGGTTCTCGAGAATCTGCATCTGGAGCACATACGACACAAGGGTATTGCCATCCGGGTCGCCGCCCGCTCCACTGAGTGAAACCTGCTGCCAGCCCACCGGGGTCTCCAGCGTCATCTGCGCGAACTCTATCAGGTTGTTTTCGCTGGTCCCGGACTTGAAGATAATCTTAGTAGGAGTATACGACTCGTCCTCGTTGTAGTTCACGTAGAAGCGAAGATCGCGGATCCCCACCCGCTTCACGAAGTAGACTGTAAGCTTATGAGGCTGCGGCCCATCAGACCTGAACAACACGTTTGTGAGCTTCCAAGGTAGTATTCGGGCAATCTTCTGGAAACACACTTACTGCCAATATTGACCCAGATCATCGCTGCGCAGCTCGTCGACCCCGTTCCCTTGCTTGTGACTGCTGACGGTGAACTTGCCCAGGTTGGAGATCTCCTTGAGGCCAAGCGTGGCAGGGTCAACCAAAGGAACGTAATCCTCGTCCTCATCCTCATCTCCTTCCTCGTCCTCTACATCTTCTTCTTCTCCCCCCTCAGCCCCTTCCAACTCTTCTGTGTGGTCCCCACCCTCCATGTCGTCAACATCCCCCTCCACCAGGCTTGTGTCATCCTCCTGCAAGTGATCATGAGAGATATCATATGGCGGCAAATGAAGCCGTTCCATTCCCGGGGGGCCTGGCCGGGTCATGGCAAGGACACTGAGGTCTGGCTCGGAGCCCGAGTCGTCGGAGAGCTCTGGCATGCTCAATCTAGACTGAGGCATGGCTAAAGAATCGTTAGCAATGATCTGAGATTGTGAAATGCGAATCGATGATCGTAGAATCCGGTGCGTGTGCCTGTACTGCCGCTGCAACTGCTCGATGCCACGAGCCAGCTGCTGGAGCTGGAATAGATAGTACTGCTGCTGGCTCTCGAGTGCCTCCCGCAAGGCCTGCTGATTCTCCTTGTCTGCCGAAGGGAGCGGGCGATGGGTTGGAGTGCGGCAGCCCATCAAGGCACCGCCCGGAGACATTGGGAGCTCTCGCAAGGGCGCTCGAGGAGTTGGGGGGCAACTGAGAGCCATGGGATGATGCGGCATTGCGGAAACCCAGCAGACAGCATATCCAAACTCGGTCACGGATGTACGAGACGTTGCTGATTGCGGAACCTATGCAGCAGCGGAAACCCCGGGCATGACCATCGACAGGCTTGGTGAATGAAGCGCGGATAGGAAGAAGAGAAGCAGGCTCAAGCAGGCTCCCCAGCATCCATGTGGCAGATGAATCTCCCCAAGGGAAAAGAGTGAAGTGAATGTGAGTGGATGTGTGATGACCGGATGAAGGGGAATCCAAAGCAAGCGGCAGATATCACACAAACAACGGCAGCGTGCAGATGAAGTGGAGTGGAGGGGGCCAGCGGACAGCATGGTCGAGAACAACGAAAGGCAAGTTACACGGGACCAGGAAAGCATCCGGTGGGAGAGGAGGGTGAAGGCGGAGAGAGCAATGAAATGATAGACACTTACCTCTGTGTAGGCGAAATGGATGGACGGGTGGTAATGAAGGACCACTCGACAGTGGATTGCTGTGGCCTGCGCCGATGCCGAGTCCATCACCGCCGCCCAGAGCCCCGAGGCCTTCAGGCGTGCGGTGCAGAGCGTTCGGGGTGACTATCTGGCCACGCGCCGGCTGGCTGGCATCTGGGCCAGTGGCAGCTGCGTCCTCGGGGGGTTGCAGAGCATCACTGCCAGCGTTGGATGCCGCTGCGTGGGCTGCCACTTGACGAGCCCGCCTGGGACCTCGCGTCAGGTCCATTCAATACACCTGTAACCAACAACGCGTTCAGCAGGCTACTCAGCCACCGGGAGACGCCCTACAGCGTTGGCCCTCGCTGCCTGGAAGTCAATGCTCAGTCTGCCGCGCTGGTGTCAATGCAGCATGAACAACCCACGTCTACATCCAGGTGCCTGTACATGCAGATCGATATGTGATAGTTGCACTGCAAATGTCTTCCTCCAAGGACGGTACCCAGTATAATAGACCTACCCTAGAGTATAGCGACCCAAGTTTTCATATCCCAGTCACGTGCATTTCTCAGCCTATTTTTAAGAGATCCAGCTCATTTGAACATATTTGAACTGTTTTGTTTTATCTTTCGTTGCTTTTTTTTTTTTCTGCATTATTATCATTACGTACCTACCTAGGCAATGTTGTGTTGTGGACAGGCGAGTTCCCTTGTCAATGTTCAACTACAGGCATAACATCAACACGCTGGTCAAACCGGATGCACCACGACGCTTGATCATGCTTTTGTAAGAATCGCGTTGCTATTTCTACGAGCGATTACATATGTTTCCGAGCATGCCCTTGATAGAAGAGGAGGGAAGATACCTACATGAGTGACTGATCGTTCAACTCCTTGATCAATTGCTGCTCGGAGCTGCGCCACGGGTAGCTCATGTTCAACTGCCCTTCCACAGAGGCCAAAATTACGGCCAAAGTGGACTGAACGATGCTTTATTGTTTTATGCCTGACCGCCGCTCTAGAGTGGCAAAAATTGCTGTGACGGGTGGTTGCTTTTCGTTTGGGCAATCTTTTGTCTGACCAGCCTTTGAGAGAGGTTAAAATTGCTGTGAAGGGGGAACTAGGATTCCCCCCCCCCTCCACCCGACCCCAAGCACGAGTAAATGGATTTGTACCCCGTCTTGCTTTGGACGCTTCACATAATTTATGCCCTTAAATTCAAAGGGTTAAGACGACGATGGAATGATTCGATTGTTTCTAAAAAAGAACATCATATCACCAGAATCACGACTTAAAGTGAAGCTGGTAGCAAGTAGAGATGAGAAAAACAATGACTGCTTTGGGTTACACAAGAGCGTACCTACCAAGTCTAGGCCTTACATCACTTCTGGAGACGAAAGATTTGCAGTTTCCCTATATACATGCACCTAATTACCTCGCAAAGGGTGGGTTTCTTTCCCATTTCATCTTTTCTTTGCGATTAGCTTTGTGTTGGCAAGTATCATCTCCGTAATACATCGCCGGCTGTTGGCTATCTGACAGATACTCCTCGCTGACTGTTTTATCTTGTCTTGTTCTTTTGCTCTGCCCGGTACCGGATTGTGTGATGCTGTCCCACCTTCAAACATTGGCTTGTTTCTATAGCTTCATACCGTGTATTCGATGACTCTTGACGTCCTTCCCTCATAAGAGTCGCTAAGGCGGGAAAGAATTCTCAATCGTTCGTTCACCTAGAGTGATTTCGGGATCCTTGATTGTCGTAGATTGGGTTATTCACGGAATCAAGAAAAACTTCGGCCAATGACGCCAACCCCAGTGAGACGGTTACTTCTACCAGACACTGTCTGGCTTAGAAGCTGCCAAAGGACCATCGTCACAAGGTCCAAGTTTTGAAACAACAAGGACAACCAATATTCACCCGCTTGATAATCGTGAGCAATGAGAAAAATATAGCCCTCGACGCTCTGCCAAATACCAATTAATTATTCTTGCCTTAGGTGGTACAGGGTCTGGTAAGCCCCGCGAGTATAATGTTTGAACCGAGAGGGGGTATATGACTTGCCATTTAATCTCACTGACAGCAGTGTGTGATACAAGTCATTAATTAGTGTCAAGAGCTGCCCCCATCTGTGTAGTCTGGTATCAACATCCCGGTCCAGGGAGAAATGAGAGGCAACTCTAAATTGAGGCATGTAACGCCATGGGTTCATATGCTATATAGCAACAGAGGCGCATTGGCAGTGGCTGTTTACAGATAACTTTAATCATACACATAGAAGCAGAAATGTTACACAACCAAGGCCCCGCCCGACCTTTGTCCCATCCATGCCTACTCGTCGTGTCCATAACAGTGTTGCCTATGTTGTACGTAGCACTCTATCGCCCACAAAGGAAGTGTGTTTAATGCTGAGTCGAGGACCTTGTCAGAGTGTAGCGTGAAGCCTTTGCGCTCTCTCCCATAGATTACTCATTGGAACGTCAGCTGCACATAAATCTGTCCTGTAACTGTAATCAATAATGATCCAGGGCAGGGAAGCAGAAGATGCTACTGAATCTGAAAATGAATGTGCGATTTTGGTCTGATCCAAGGAACGACGCTTTCTAGCAGCCCCAATGCCGAGAGGCGATTCAATAGACGAATTGCAGTCAATCAGTCACGTTATCACACATGAATATCTGTTCCACGTTGCACCTCCTAATTTTAAAAACATATATCTAAAGGACATGTCGTGCTGTTGTTCCCCTCTCAACTGCGTCAGTCATGGTATCTATCGCGGATTGGCTAATTGCTCTTCTCCAGTTGCTCTTCATCCATGCTTGATGTTCTTTTAATCTCCTCACCAAGGCTGGCTGATAATTCACGAAAGACCGAGTCAATTCATTCTACATCATCGTGGCACAGCATGGGTTACTTCACCCCTAGGTCGCAGTTGACCCCGGGCAAACTGATCTCCCGTAGCCGGCGTTTTGTTGTCCTCATCGCCATCTCGACCGCCGTGCTTGGGGCCATTCTTCTCGGCTTGTGGCGATTAGCCAGCACATGTCCGGGCAGTAGTTTCTGCTCTGGCGTACTCAAGTACAAAACCGCTATCAAACAGTTGCATATTTCGGATACCTCCCCGACTTCAGATGATCTACGCCATGCTATATCTCCGTCTCCATCCTCGGCGCCAGCTCCCCAGCAAATCTCTGGGATGCCCCCCGTTCCCGCCGCAGTGTCCACCAAGGGCCCCTGTGAGGGATTCCCCGATACTTCAAATATTCTTCTGATCATGAAGACTGGTGCCTCGGAGTCGTTCGCTAGAATCCCCACGCAGCTATTGATGAATCTGCGATGCATTTCCGACTTCCTAATATTTGGAGACATGGAACAGACGATGGCTGGCTACCATGTTCAGGATAGTCTTGATGAAGTGAGGGAGGAAGCAAGAGCGAACAATCCCGACTTTGATCTATATTTCCGCCAGAAAAACTGTGCTTCAGGTCAGGAGACGTGCAACAGGAATACGAACGACGACACCGCTTCTCAAGCATGGAATTTGGACAAATACAAGAACATCCATGTTGCCGAGAAAACCTGGAGACAGAAGCCAAACTACGATTGGTATCTCTATGTCGATGCTGATACCTATGTTGTCTGGCCTACAATTGTGGAATGGCTCCAGCGTGTTAACCCAAAGGAACAATGGTACATTGGCAGCGTTGCCTTCCTTGGCGATTTCCCCTTTGCTCATGGAGGCAGCGGATATCTGCTATCCCAGGCGACAATGAAAAGCTTCTTCGATGGGAAAACGGATGTAGCAAAGGAATGGGACCTTGATGCAAGGATTGCTTGCTGTGGTGACTACTTATTATCGTATGCCCTCCGACACAAAGTAGGAGTGAGAGTGACCAATGTCGTGAGTTCTTCCATATCCAAAGCCGTCCCATTAAGCATACTGTTCTTTCCGAGCCACCAAGTCTTTGTTGGAATCAAGATGCTGACATTTGACAAAGTGGCCAGTTGTGAACGGTGAGAAGCCTAGCACGATGTCATACGGAAAAGCTCAGTGGTGTCAACCCATCGTGACCATGCACCATGTTGGTAGCGAGGAGGTCACGGGCCTTCGCGAATTTGAGATAGAGCGTAACTTCACGTCACCACTGCGATTTAGGGATCTATACCATCGATTTATCGAGCAGCTCCTTGAAGATAAACGAGAGGGCTGGGATAACCTCAGTGAGGACGTCTTTTACTTGGATGAGACGGCCCGAGAGTACTCTGACTGGCAGCTTCAAAGGACCAAAAAGGGGGGCCTGTCGTCGATTGAACGTGAAGCCCACCTAGGGTTTAATCAATGCCAAAGGGCATGTCATAATGACCCTGGATGTTTTCAATTCAGATTAAATCAGGGTATCTGTGCTATGAGTAATAGCATAAAACACGGGAGACCAAGGAAGCCCGAAACCAAGGATGACGAATGGCTCAGTGGTTGGGACGTGCCCAAGATCAACCGCTGGGTTCAGGAGAATTCAAACTGCGGGAAGATTACATGGCCATCTGTGCACAATTAATCAGGGGGTGTTGTGGTGTGGGCATGTAGGGTTTCTGGCTAGAAATGTTGTAAATGAGCATGAATAATGAAATAGAAGGAGCTTTGACCCATGCTGACGACTGTTGAGTCTGGGGACGTGACGTTAGTGCATGTCGTGTGCTCTTTTCCGCTCCCCTCCTGTCAAAATTGCGAGGAAAAGACGGGTTTAGTCGACAGCAAAACCTTGTCGAATGAGGAGACGCATGTTGCATTGGGAGTCACAACCTGGGAGCGCTCTTGTGACAATAGTCGGATGGGCGCACGATAATGCAGCTAGCACGAAAATGAAGATCAGCCGGGTCAAACTTAACGGCAGATTGAACGGTTGACGCTTCACTTATCGCTCCCGTCAAGAGACAGGCGACCTAGAGAATCATCTCGGGAAAAGGCAGATAATTTCGATTGAGCCCACTCAGGTGATGATAGGCGGCGCCGAGCCCGTAGTCAAATGAGACCCCAGTGGTTCTTGGGCTGCTCATTTGTCTAGGCCACCATTGGCAGCTGTGGCAGCAGCAAGGCTCGCTCGGATGGGGCTGCCGCATTCCACCCAGACATTGGGGCTAATAAGATGCAATCAAAGGACTGCTGGTGCCAGGAGAGTGATGGGCCTGATGGCATGCCGTTCTGCTGGTGCTGGCATCCAGTGATTCACGACGCAGGCGGAAGCGCAGATTGCATTCCACGGCAGCGCCGTCTCACAGCAGAACCATCGACGCCACAAGATACCCGCCGTCGACCAGTAGAATGTCTTGGCCCCATGACACTGGCGGGTGGTCCCTAGATTCATGTGCCTGGGCGTGGACCGCGTGGTGGGCTGCCGGAATGACGCTCGTTGCTGGCCCCCACAGGCCAAATGCAATTTCTCGACGCCGCTGGTTGGCTGAGGCGCCCGAGGTGTAGAATCAGGGTGCGGTGTGATGCTGTCCAGTGTCGCTCGCTGCTGGATTGAGCAACCAGGCACGCTCCAATCCAGTGTTTCACCGCCGCAATCTCAGCTGGCGTTTTGAGAGGTGGACGCATGTCTGGTGAGGAGCAGCTGCATGACTGCTCCATATCTGATGCATCATGCTCAAACGCGGCGGATGGTGCCCAATGCATACTAAGGCGATAGGATTCAGCAGCGCAGGTGCAGAAGGAGAGGTGAAGGGACCAGGAACATGCGGAGACGATCGCCGCTCTGTACCTGTACCTGGGTCCTGTTGGACAGCGCCCCTCCCTCACCGTACCGATACCTCTTAGCTAATCCGTATGCTGTCCCCTCCCAATGCTCCTGCAAACTGCCGCATAGCTCCTGCCCGGCTCCTGCTGAGCTGTGATGTGATGCTCTAATAATAATTGAAACTTCATGTTTCGTCGTTAACACCAGCCGCTCCCCCCTTTGGCTCTGGCCTCGGGCACCCACCATAAGCCGCCCACCCCCCTCCATCCCTTCTTATGTCCTGATGAGTCTTGTCCCAAGTGCCTTGGTCCAGCTCCGCTAAAGGGAGGTCATGTCCCCTGTTCCCGCGCTTCTTTTTAGTTCCAGCTAGCCAATCGAGTCCCTGTCCTCCCGCATTTTTGGAACGGTACGGTATTCATTCATTAATTCAGCCAACGTCCGGCTCAACTCCTTCTGACCTCCCCCCTCTGTCTTCCCAACATTGCAATACCGCTCACATCTTGCGCAGCCTGTCTTCATTCGATATCCCCATTGCTTTCCGTCGCCAGGCGCCTCTTTTTTAATATTCTTCCATTATACTCTAATTTTGCTTTGCACCATGTCTGACGCCGAGCTCGACCGCGACTGGAAGCCCAACGGCCGTCGCCCGCAATCGTAAGCAGCCCCTGGCTTGAACTACCTTGCAGCCGAACGCCCCTCTCGACCCTGCTGTGATTGTGACTCGGCTAACATGATTGTGTCTTCGTCTTGTGCTCTAGGACGATTGCTCGCTCCTTCTCTGCCGAGCTCATGGATATTTTCCGCATTGAGAATGACATCTCTGACCTCGATAAGGAGGTTGACCAAAGGTCGGTTCCTCCGCTCCCCGAAGCTATGGATAGATCAATGCCACAACCCCCACGCCACCAACACCCCGACTGTGCTTCTCGTTTCCAGGACTAATGCTGAAGCTTGTTCCCTCGATTAGGAAGCAGAAAGTTGGAAAGAGCAACGATGAGCTCGCGTCTCTTGAAGCCCGCCTCAAAGAAATGGAAAACCGTCTGCGTCGAACTCAGCACCACGTCCGCCAGTCAATCTCCCACCCCCCAGGGGGCATGTCGTCCAAGGTTCCAGACTTCGCCAGCAAGAATGAGACCGAACAGAGTTCACCAGCGGCAGACGGCTCAAAGAACCGCTCCCGGCCAGGCACTGCCCGCGCAGCTCAGCCAGCTCCTGGTTCAGGCAATATGCCACCAACCCCCGGGGCCAGTGAAGGTGAATATTATCTTGTCACCCAGGAAGATTTGGACGACACCCGGCGCTGACATGGCTCTATTTGCCTTTCCCGCTTAAAGATGGCGACCGCGAAGAATAATCATGTTAATACACGAACTTATACATATTCGATAGACGTATGATGCTATGGTTTCATTGCCCCACAGCATGGCGTTTTCTCATAGAGCCTCGACATTGGCTCAATACTCAATTACAAGCTGGCCAGCACCAACGGGCCGGCTCGACGCAGGCGTTAAGAACTGCAACACATCTGCGCATTTTAACGGCCAACTCACTTTATCACTCGCTAATTAATGACACACTCGGCGTTCCAATGGCATCACGATTTCTCCTGGAGCCTCATTAGTCGGAATGGGGATTATTGGTTTATTTCACCGCGGCAACCGTACCATGTCTGGGCGGACGACGTGCCGCAAACAGCATTTTGAATGGGCGTATGATGTTTTGACTTATAAGGGGACGGAATTCAGCAGGCGGTTGTGTCTGACGGGGTTCAAGCCTGTCAAGGGCAACGGCCAGTGTGTTGGGCATGAAGAGTAGGCGATTTCTAAACATGAAATGTATGCACCGGTTTACCGGTAATATTTGCTAAAGCTCCCTGTACACGCAACATACAAAGCCTTGCCCGTGTTTTCAATGGGGATGTTGTGGGGTTTCAGTCCATTGTTTGTTACTTTTAATAAAGATACCCTAATTTCAAACATTCAATAGACGGCCCTTGCCGAAGAAGAGAAGAAAGTTTACTGAACATTACCCACCCCTCAGCAAATAACCCCCCTTGAGGCGTAGTCGGTTCTCAGAGCCGCTTGTTGGCAAACCCGACCTTCTTCGTCTCCAAATCGAACGCGACAAACAGAGCCTTGAGCACCGTGCCGCCAATGATGGTGGACTCGAGGTCGTCGGCGCTCTGCATGCCCCCCCAGCAGTAAGTGTCATCGCCTGCGATGGGCCCATAGTTGAGGTACGGCCCCGGAATGTTGAGGACGTGCTCTGTCCCGGGCAGCTTGAAGCGGAGGTCCGGCAGCCCGTCGGCGCCGTCGCAGGGGAAGGTGAAGGCGTCGGAGAGCATCGGGTCGACGCGCATCCCGGGGACATCGCTCCAGTACATCCTGGCCAGGACGTCCGGGAGGAAGGTGAGCGTGGTGCCCGTGTCGACGGTGGCTGTGAAGTCGTGGAGCCACCAGTTGCTGCCCTCCCACGACATGAGGTTGAGCCCGACATCCCAGTGGTCGCTGTCCCGGCGGGTGCCCAGCCAGGTCACGTTGTCTGTGGTAATGCTCTCGTTGAGGCGCCCGAAATCGAACCGCCCCGTCGCGTTGAGCCGGAGGTCGGCGGTGAAGACGGGGGTCTGGAGCTGCGGGCGGAGGAGGTCGAGGAAGGTCTTGGAGGGGGGCGCGATGCTGCTGGGGAGGCTCTTGGCGAGGCCCATGATGCCGCTGAGCCCCGTCTCGCGCTCGAAGCGGCGGGCCACCGTCAGGGCGGACTGGATGGTCGCGTTGCGGACCTCGAAGCCGCCCAGGCGAACCGTGTCAAGGTAAACTATACCGTTGGCTGCAGTGCCGTCCACTGAGGCAAAACATGATGAGTCAGTCTGCCAAACTCGGGATGAAGTAAAAGGTTGCATGGCTTGAAGTTCTCGCTCACTGTACTTGACATTCCACTCGGCATCTTTGAGGATGTTGGAGGTTCTGGACATGTTGGGGTGGTACCGGGGAGCCCAGGGGCCTTTTCGATTGTAAAAGTATGTCGTATCGCTCGATTGCAACCACCTGACATAGTGTTAGACATTACAAGAAGCTGGCTGAAGAGTTGGATGTCACTTACAAGTCTGAGGAGCCCGTGTCCAGGGCAATCTTGACCACTTGAGGCGGGTTGCCGATTTCGAGATCAGCGATGAAAATATCATCGCTGCCCAGCGGTTGGACATCTACCCGGCCGTCTTTTCCCAAACATGTTATTATCCGCTGGTTTTAAATGTACGGCCTTCTCTCTCTAGAGTTCTTAGAGGCAAGATGGGCCACTCACTACTGTCGAGGAGGGAAAAGGCGGTAGCTACATCCTTCGGGATGCCTTTGCCCCATTTCTGTCGAGCAGCTGCCCAGTCCCTCAAAAAGCCTCTTGACTGGTGAGATGTCGCTGCAACGGAGAGCGAAAAGCTCCCTTCAATGCCGAGGTTCGATTGGTCTGGGATTGCTGCCGCTGCCGCTGCTATGACAGCGACAAAGAGGGCTTGGAAAAAAGCCAAAAGGATGCAGGGAATGGCCATGATGAATGCTGTAAACAATGCTATCGTGAGTCTTCGGATCTTCTTCTTTCAATTCTTAAGGAGTGACGAGGATGGGATGGGTAGGGTCTAAGAATAAACTACAGGAAAGTGACCGGTCAAGGAACAGGATGTAGATGCGTGTGGTTGAGGAGAGAAGTGAGGGCCGCAGCCTAGCGGTTGGGGCACTCCGATGTAGCTCTTGGAGGCGTGTTACCGCCGCGTTTCTTTCGCAATCGGACGAGGATCGAAGAAGCGCTGCACTCGGCCCCAGGATACAGCTGCTGCCGCCTGGGCGCAGAGGTCGATCTGCCGAAGTACCTGGTTGATTCAAGAGATGCGTCCGCCAGTGATGAGCTGGCTCATCCTCTCATTTTGTTTCTGCGGCGCTTAGTCTCTCTTCTTTCAAGAGAGACTGATGTTTGTGGGACTATCTGGTTTCAACTTCATGCCAATTCAGCGTCGCTCGACAGTGACTCGTATCGTCTTGTGTTACTACGCCTAGGCCTGTTCTTGTCTTTGCGGTAACCGTGAAACCTGCCCAACAGCAGCCCAGTCGAAAGATGATGTGGCAGAGAATCCAGAATGAAGAGCGAGTTACCGCAATACAGCGAATTGGTTGGTTTTTGTTTGCGCCAATGACGGTGATTTGCGCATGGTTGTATTATTCCTCTGATCTACGATCCACCGTTGATATCCTCTACCTTCAGGGCTACTTAGGCTGGAACATCTTGGGTAGCAGTCCATTCAGAGAATCTTCAAGAGTTGAGTGATACACCATGTCAAGGTATCAAGAGTAGAAAAAAAGATCATATAAATTTCATTCAATGCTTCTGCCGGATATACCGTCTTTTCTATTTCCACACCGTGAGACCCAAGAAATACCACATCCCGATCATAGCTCATCATGAGGCTTTACACTGGGCTCCGCCTCGGCCTGCTTCTGCTGCGCCTCGGCCTCCTTACGGACCTTGGCCCAGTCCTCCTCGCTCATGTTCTTAATCAGATCCTCGAGGTCCTCCGCGCTGAGAGACTCGAAGTTCTTGTCCTTCAGATCACCCAGCTTGGTCGGCTTGCCCTTTCCGCCCTTGCCACCCTTCTTCTTGCCCTTGTCCTTGGGCTTCTCCTTACTGCCCTTTTTGCTGCCCTTGCTATAGTTCTTGACACCCTTCATGGCCAGATCCTTGCCAGCCTTCTCCAGCCTCTCGACCTTGGCGGTCACATCCTTGACAAGGAGGACAGGGTCGGCGGTCGCAGCGAGCTTGTCCTGCTTGGCCTCGTTCTCGTTGATCCACTCCTCGGTGGTCTTGGAGAGGGCAGCGAGCTCGTCAAGATCCTCGCGCTTGTAGAGGGGCGGGACGGGGCCTCGCTCCTCCAAGACATCCTCCATCTTCTTGTCCTTGGGGGTATCGTCGTCTTCGAGGCCATCAAAGTCGCCAGAAGGGGTAGCTGAGGGAGCGGCAGATGACGACGCAGAGGCAGCGGCGTGCCACTCATCGTACTCGTCAATCTGCCTACGCATGGTGTCGACGAACTTGGAGGTCTCCTTCAAGGAGCTCCTAAGCTTGGAGATGGCAGCGGGGCGGGCTCCACTCTCCGTAACACGCTTCTGAACAGGGTCTGCAATGTCCTGTAGCTGCTTGAGTCTGGCCTTGAGTTCAGTTCTGGGGGCATCGGCACCCTCATCGTAAAGCCACTCGCTGGTGGCACTGGCCTTCTCGGAGAGACTGGTTCGCTCGGCTTCGGTTGAGGCGGCAATGAAAGACTCATCCTCGAGCAGGTCTCTAACCTTGTATGTGAAGCCCTCGAGCTGGTTCAAAGCCTCCTCACGGAGATATCGGGCCAAGTCAGAGGCTGCGAAGGCCTTCAATCGGTCCTTGGACTGCTTAGTCTGCTCCTTGGTCAACTGCGGCGTGCCGAGAATCTCGATGGCAATCTCGACGGGGATGGAGACAGTCTCGAGTTTCTTAACCTCCGTCTTCAGCTCCTCAGTGGAGCCCGAGGCCTCGGCAGATTCGGATGATTCAGTTGCTGACTTGGTGGCCGACTCTTCGGATGTGTTGACAGTTTCAGTTGAGGCGCTCTCGTCACTGTTCAGCTGCTCTTGGTCCTTCTTGCCAAATCCGAAAAGGTTCTTGACACCGTCAACAAAACCCTCCTTGACTTCGGCCTCACACTCGACAGCAGCCTTGACAATGTCAATCTCGCCGTCCTCGGCATCCAGCTTGGCCCCGAGCCGGAAGGTAACGCCGCTCTCAACGCAAGAGGGATACTTCTCCTTGAGCGCCGCGATGCTCGAGGTCAGGTTCTTGGTGGTGAAACGCTTCAAGTCCTTGTACTCAGCGTCAACCTGCTGGTAGAAAGTACCGCTGAAGTCAGCCTCCTCATTGAAGGAGAGCTCCTTGGCGGGGCCACCAATGGTAGAGATGGGGGTCCAAAGACGCTGGGTCCTCTCCTCGCTTGCCTTCCACTTCAGACCAGCTGCGTAGCCTGGGCCATCAGAGATTCTGATTTCCTTGACACGGAAGCCTGGGCTAAGGTCGGCGGCGCGGAAACCAGCACCGAACACAGCGGCCTCGTCAGAGTTGACATTGGAGCGGAGCTTGTCGGCCGAGCCAACAACCTTCTCGAGAGCCTTCTGGACGAAAGGAGTACGAGAAGCACCACCATGCAGAATAACAGAGTCAAGGTCATCCATCTCCAGCTTGGCCTGTTTCAAGGCGCTGTTGACGGTAGCCGCAACTCGGTCAGCATGGGCCTTAGCCAAAGCCTCGAAATCGGCGCGCTCGATCTTGTACTTGAAGTTCACATCATCATAGAGGCCCTCGAAGCTGGCGGCCGTGTTTTGGTTGGCGCTCAGAACATGGCGAACACGCTCAGCCTCCTTGGTCAGCTTGGCGATGGCCCGGCCGTGGGCCTTGACGCCCTCGGCAGTAACGGATGCTTTCTGTGCGGCCTTGGACTCGACAAACTTCTCAATCATGTCGTCGATGATGAGGTTGTTGAGGGCATCACCACCCAGAGTGCGGTCGGAGCCGGTTCCAATAACCTGAACCTCCTGGACAGTCTTGTTGTGCTTGCCAACGTCCTTGACCTCGCGGCTCTGGAACCTCATGACGGTCGCCTTGGTAGAGCCCGCACCCATGTCGAAGACCATGTGGTATTCGGGGTTTCCGCCCTTGTTGATGTTGGGGAACTGGCGGGTGGTGGCATAGTTGAGACCAACGGCCAGACCATCACTGATTGTACCCAGGACCCTCAGGCCAGCGAGGTCGGCGGCAGCCTGTACTGCGCGTCTCTCATCTGCGGTATAGAATGGGGGGATGGTCAAGACAACGGAGCGCACCGAGGTGCCATCGCCAGCTGCGGCTTCGGCGTTCTTCTGAATGCTTTGAAGCTCCATGGCGAGCAGCTCTTCAACCAACCAGGCATCCTCCTCTGCTGACACGGCGCTGCTCTTGAACTGGGCAGTCCCTCGCGAAGGGTGGGCTTGAATCTTCAGGGAAGGGTGTCGGGCAGCATATTCCTGGACCAGGGCGTCGTCGACGGGGAGGCCGAGGAGGGCCTTGAGGTTGGGGTAAACGTCGCCGGGGAACCGGGCTGCCAGCGCCATGGCGTCGGAGCCATAGAGTCTTTCGGGGTACTCGCCAGGCTGAAGTGCGCCGCGCGATGGTTTGAAAGCAACGGCGGAGGTTTCTTTTCTTCGGGAATCTTTGGTTAGGACAACGTCGAATGGCTTCCCAGGCTTCACAAGCGCAGCCTTGATGTACTCAGTTCCCAGGTCAACACCCAATGCGGCCGAGGCAGCAAAGACCTGTGCTGAGAAGAATAGAATGGCCCCAAGGACCATCACCAATGGTGATGTCCCCGAGGGCTTGATTAACATGGTGGGTGGTGGGGGGTACACGAAGGTCCCAGGTGGCGGTGGGTGTGGGAGAAAGCCGTCAGCTAGAAAGTGTTTGAATCCGCACCTCGAGTGTGGGGAAGTTAAAGAAGAAGTTCAAGAGGAATTGAATGGGGAGGGGAGTGCGACAGTATAAATGGAATCAATTGAAGTCGCAATGTCCATGCAGAGGCTGATGTGGCCTCAAGCCGACCCTCGTTCAAGGTGGTGGTGGGCGGTATTATGGCCTAGATCTTGCCCGAAAGGACAGCTTGACAGTTAAAAAAAGGTCCTGGGCTATTTCTGTGACGTTAGCCCCAGACCAAGTGGCCTGGCTGCAAGGCTGATGGGGCGATAAGGCCCCGATAAGCCGCTGCCCACTGAAGAGGTGGCTCTTGGATGGGCGGGAACGGTAGCCATCTCTATTTTGATCTAGGTAGGTACTCGGCACCAGAGACGACGGAAAGCCAGCTATATTCAGGCCATGGCTGAATATGTAGCTGGAGGGACCTAGTCAGCTCCTTGATTTGCGCAGTTCAAGCCTCGGCAGTTGGGTAAAGTGTCATGAATAGATGACACGGAGCCCTTCCCACCGTTTGAGTAACGGTTCCCCGGTTATATACGGATTTTGTATCGCTACTTCTATCTCGTCTTTCTGCAGTGTTGCTTTCAAACGGTAGGCAGCCCTGTCGACTACTTCCCTTGTAGAGGTACCCAAGTGCCGGCAAGAGAGATCTGGAGCAACCGGCTACCGTATCCCGTTTATGCACACCCTTGACACAAGCTCTTATGGCCCTACATCGGGAAGAAAAATTAGCTTTTCTGGCAAACACCGTGCTCCACATTGTGATCTAACTGGGGCTTGGCATAACGACCATTGGGCATATCACCAATGACTAGTTTCGTGGCGCATGTTCAGCTTCTCACAACAACCACAATAACGCACACACTGACACGCATTCTTTGGTGGTTAGACCCTCTACCCCGCGTACCAGCGTGCATCAATGAACAGGCCAAGGCGCACTTGTCATGATGGGTCGGAAGACTCCAAGTGCAGCAGCCATAATGTACTGTCTCCAAGCCTGAATATAAAAGAACACTCAAGCGTAGCTACATGAGAACTTGAACTATCAATAAGATTTCCCCTCTCCTCCATCACTTGACCAACCCAGAATACCCCGAAGCTTCAGTTCATAAGAAAACATGACTCTCCCCGACGAAGCCCTCACCCTCACCGGCGGCTGCTCCTGCGGTGTCATCCGCTACCGCGTCGAGATCCCCGCCGCCGCCTCCCGTCCCCTCTCGCCCTTCGTCCCAGAGTCCGTCGGCACCAAGATGCCCTACGCCCTGACTTGCCACTGCAACGACTGCCGCATGGCCTCGGGCACCCTCCTCCCCGCCACCCTCATGCAGATCCCAGGGACCATGATCCGCGTCTCGGTCCTGCCCCGCACCGGCCCCGAGACGTCCAACATCATCACCGGCCGCTTCCTCGACTGCACGGCCGACGACTTCGACGCGGACGCCGCTGACGCCGGCCGGCCCCCTTACCTCCCCGCCGGGGACGTCCTGCGGGCGACCCAGCCCCAGGATAGCGGGGAGACCTGGCTGCGCTTCTTCCACAGCTTCGACTGCGGGAGGTCGTTCTCGCGCAGCTTCTGCGGCCGCTGCGGGACCGAGGTCTGCTTCCATTACGCCCTCGCTGCGGACTGGTGCCATGGGGGTAAGCTCCCGGATGGGTGGTCTGACGTCTTCGATATCACTACCGGGTCTTTGGACCGCAAGTTTGTGGGCGTGGACTGGCTAGCTCCTGACGCGGAAACCAATTTCAAGCATGGTTCGGCGTTGGGCAGATCAGTGTCTGCCACTGGTAAGTGGCTGAAAGACACCATCAAGATGAAGGCTCTTGGTCCCGAAGAAGGGTTCGTAGACGAGGAGGAGCTTGCTGAGTTGGCGAAGGAAGGCCCAAACCCTGAGCTTCTCAAATTAATGGCAGGTGATAATGTGACCGCGTAGTTTTGTATAGTTAGCGAGGGGCAAGTGGTCTAAGTATACACTTACGGAGAACATGAGTGTTTCACACGCACAATGCATACATCATGGAAAGCAAACGTTGTGCCGGTCACTTCCTAAATTCCTGATTCGCCTGTATACCAGCTGCCTCAAAAAGAGATTTTTTCCTCACAAGGAAGGTTATCAAGAGACCGAGCCTCCCCCAAAAAGCAAAATCCCCCCTTTCCTCATCGCCCATATCCGAATCATAGTGCCCACCCGGGCCAAAAATGCCAGCAACTCCTTCGTACTATGCCACAAGAGTTACAAAAAAACCGAGTTCGCTGACGCCGCTTTCGATGGCAAACGCCGCCATGACATGGTGTACAGTCGTCCGTTTAGACGATATGATTATGGATGTTCAACACTGTTGGCCCATCCAGTTTGGTTGATGCCGAGTCTCCTACGACTCTTCCTGTCGGCGGGCACCACCTCGTGGGGCCCCTCCCGCATTACGGTTTCCACGGCCCCGTCCACGGCCATCTCCACGACCCCGACCTCGCCACTCTCCACGGCCACGTCCGCGGTGGCTTCCTCCCTCACGGTCGTTGCGTCCGCGGTTTCGCTGAACCTGGTGGAAACCGTCGTTGGGCTCTACTGGGTTGGCGGGTGCGGTCTAGTTTACAGCCTGTTAGTTGATGATTTCTCAATCGCGCTCCATAGTTGCTCGTCTTACCTCGGCGGCAGGCTCTGGGTGGTCATCAGCCCAGGACTGGTTGTTGCCAGCCGCAGCTGGGGTAGCAGTGAGCCCATTGTCAGTCTCAGCTGGGTCACGAGGAACCTTCACGTCAACCCACTCCTGTGAGATCGCGCCCTCAGCAGCAGGAGTGTCCCAGTGGCTCCCAGCGACAGCATTGGCAGCCTCATCCGACACATTGATGTTAGCAATGCCGTTGGTGGCGGTCTGCACAGCCTGCTCCTGTTCACCGGGAACAGGCACGGTGGCGTCAAGCTCGGTTGCACCAGCGTTGGCAATAGTAGGGTCTGTCGTGACCTCGGTGTTGGCCTCGGGAGCATCGGCACCCTCAGCGTAGTTAGGGGTCTTGTAATCTTGGGCGAGGCTCTTCACTTGGGCGTCTGTGGGTGCAATTAGTAAAAGGGCTGGATAATCTGCAACAAGCTGATCTTATGACACATACAAGTCGTCTGGAGCTGCTCGCCAGGGACACTCCAAATCTGGTCAGAGGAGCCGTCGACCAGCTTCAGCATTGAGTTGACCGCGCTCTCATCTCCCGTGTAGATAGCAAGCAGCACACCCTCTATGGCCTGGCTCTCATCTGAATCGGGGTCGGTAGCTTCCTCGCGACGGTATGCTGCCAGTCGCAGGAATTGTGAGAGGAGGAGCAGGTTTCCGCGTAGAGTCTTGTCGAAGCTCTCCTTAGCCTCCGCAACAGCATCGGTCTTGGCCTTCTCTAGCGACTGTTCGGCGATAGTCTTCTCGGCGGCGGCCTTGGTTCGGTATTCATTGTCGATCTTGAGGATTTGGGTGAGTTGCTCCTCGAGCTGAGTGACCTGGGCCTGCAGTGCAGGCTTCTTCAGAACCTGGGCTTTCTGGTCCGCATTGATGATCTTGGCATCGACTAGTTCCTCAAGAGACTTGCCCTCGTGCTCCTTGATAAGGGAATCGACCTTGGAGGCGTTGGTCTGTTCGGGGTCAGTGTCGTGTGACTAAATTTGGGTGAGCAGCACTTGGAATCCGGAACCGTACAATTTTCTTGTTGACATTGCGGATGTTCCTTTTCGGGGGATGTTAGCTCATGAAGGTGTGAAGATGGACCGCAAGGCTGAGCACTCACTTCTGCAGTTCACGAATGTAGGGGCTCTCGTCGCCTTTCTCGGCCTGGCCAGAAACGGCGCTGGGGGCAGGGGACTCGGTTCTCTCGATGGCCTTGGTAGCCGTCTTCTTGGGCTTCGAACCGGACTGAGCAGTCGAGGCAGCCATTTCGAAGGCGTGGTCTGTGAGGCGACAGAAGTTGAAGTTTTGCCTACCTGGCTAATGTGTCGGCTGTGGCCAAATAGAGCTCTTGCGGGGTTGGCAAGAGTGGATGATGATGAGATGTGGGAGCTAGTTGGCTGGGACAGAGCTGGCTAGGATGAAAAGTTTGGGGATGCGAAGGTAGCAATTATGCTGGCGCAGGTGGTTACGGGAAGAAGTGAGGGAGGATGCGTTTGGGAGGTGAACAATGAGGAGCGAAGTGAAGTTGGGCCGTTTTTTCTGCCAGTGCTTTCCAAGCTGACTCGCCGAGAGGAGCCTGTGGTGAGGCCTGGCCGTAACTGTAGCTGTAGCGCATGCAGGGGGCAGCTCTCCCCGGCCCACTCCAGCATCCGAGGCTGGGCTGCCTTAGCATTAGGCGCACCGCGACTGGGGTTCCCAGATCTCTCCTAAAGATCTTGACCTCCTGGCCTTGACAATATGTTAGGATTATCTTAGAATTTTGGCTCATTGTTAGGGTTACATGGTTGAAGAGGATTGCATTTAATATTTCCTATACCGACGAGAACAACTCGGATCACTCCAATACGCCATAAATTATTGATGCTACTGATGCCATAACAACTGATAAATCATTCATTTCAACGCCCCATAGACATGATGTGTTGCAGCTCATCCTTTGAATTTGCTCAAGGTATCCTGAACTTGCGTGAGTCGCCATGCTCGAAATTTCGCGTCGGGCTTGTCAGAAAGGGGAACTTACTCGCGTGACCTTTTTCACACTCCGGGCTGCGAGTGCTCGTTCGCCGGACTGCTTCGAGTGGATAGCAGCCTCTCTGACCAGACTATCAGATGAAAATCAGAACTGAAAAGTGGGCAGCATTCAACGAGATCTGGATGGACTTACGATTCCATGAACAGCACATAATTTAGATACACCTGTAAAGACGGTTATTATCTTAGTACGATATCGCTGGATGTGGCGAGAGGCGCGTCGATTAACCCGTCGCGTCAACGCTCAACCGCCACCATGTACTGACCGTGACATCTGCATTCTTCTTGATGTTGAGATTCGAATGTGCTTTTATGATTTTCTTCACTGTGGCCTTGGGGTAAGGCTTCTTCCCGACCAAGGCCATGTTGTGATTGTGGTTGGAAGACAAGGCTGACCACGATGGATGGTGCAAGCAACAGACAACAACTGATGTCACTCGTTGGCGGTACGTACCGATCTGGTCCTGCCCGCTGTGGTGGGGTTCACACAGTGCATAAAAACATGCCACCTTCGCCTGAATACAGTACATCTTTACAGTGCGCAATATTTCCAAAAATACACGGTGCAGAGCACCCCTCCATGACATTTTCGAAGCAGCCTGCGATGCTACTGTGGTCTCGATACGCCGATGAGGACAACCTAGCCCAACATGTCAGGACTTATTGGGCGACGAATGGTACGTATTCGCCCTTTTAACCCAGCGGAACCCTCAATGCTGACTGTCAACCCCACAGCTCTCGAAAGCAGAGGAGGAGGGAAGTGAGGAGGTCGAGGTTCGCCGCGAGGACCAGGATAAGATCAACAAGTTCAGCAGGCTGCACCAGCGCGAGATCCTCTTCCAAGAAGAGCTAGAAGCAAAAAGCGTATGGAAAGATTCCCAATCTCGTCAACTCGAACCCGGCACCGCAATATACTGATACTTTCCGTTGCACAGAAAGAAAAGGAAGATCTAGACGATTTATCGGTGGAGCTTGAGCTGGCAGACGAGGACGAGAAGATCCCGTACGTAGCTATCGCGACTGCTTTGGATGGCAACCGGTATATTAACCTCCACGTCCAGGTATAAAATCGGCGACTCCTTCTTCCATCTCTCCTTGGAGCATGCCCAGGAGATGCTGGGTTCGACGACATCTCGAATCGAGGAGGAGACGAGCGAACTAGAGGAAAAGCTTGGGTCGGTACGGGAAGAGATGAAGGAGCTGAAGGTTCAGCTGTATGCGAGGTTTGGGAAGCAAATCAATCTTGAGACATGATTGAAACCAACCCCAACGCCACATTTTGCTCTGTCTGAGCGACTGGCCGCCTTCACTCCGCCACTTCACCCACATACGGCCCTTATGAGCAACGAAATAGATGAGAGGGCAGTTAAAATACGACAGCTACCAAGGATCAACTAGATGTGCGAAAGCTCCGCAACCATTATTCTTCTATGTGATTGCAGATCTATGGACACTTGCAGCATACCGTGTATATTCTCGCATCACATTAATACAAGCTTTATGAGAAAGAGCGTCACCAACATTCACCCGATCACATGTCCTTTAGGAATAATATTAATGGTAAAGGTAACATTAAGAACAAATCTGTCAGTGTTTAACACTTTAATAGAAAATGAGTCTAGAATATGGTCACATGTTGGCCTAGCAGAACGGTTGTTGCTGTGATGCCCAAGTCCTGGCTGTACGCCTGAAGCTAATATGGTGGGCTCTTCTCAAACCACAGCCTCTCATCTTCCAGATTATTCTGTCGCGTTGCAACATGACAGCTCTGCCAAGAAAACACACTGCTGTTAGCTGCTGACCGATGTTGCAACCGAGCTTGTGTGGGCTTGTTACCAAAGGCGCCGTCCTGAGTCGTGGAGAAGCGGGTAAGATCATCCCTCCGACTCGGGGAGGCGAGCTTTCGATCTGCCCCAACAATCGGGTGAGTGGAGACGACTTCTTATCCCCGGCCCAGCACCCCTACACCAACTTCCCTCCCTTCTGGCCTTCCCTATTCAACCAGTAGTTCGCAATCAACGGTTAGTATTGCGCCGGCATCATCAATAAGGAAAAACAACCAAAGCCAGGCTGGTTGTGTTATCCGGGCGCGGGAGGAGTCGACCTCGCGAACATGCACACAACCGAGCTCCTCCTCATAACCTCCTCTAGTTCCACGGGCAAATCTAGCACAATCATGTTGGTGCAGAAAAGAGACGGTCTGGCGGAGGCACGTCGCCGACCTACGGGCCACGGCGCAGATGGTTTTATTCCCTGTTCATGGCCGGTATCTTCTCCGTAAATCGGGCTGACCAGGACCAACACACCTCCTGTCCCCCTCCAAACTCTTCCTGCCCAACATCCCCCCTCCCGGATGTGTGACGATAGCTTCTTGTTTTGTTCCAAGTACTTAGTTTCGCCTCTTTAATTGATCTCTTTCTCTGTTCTAACATGTGCAAACTCCCAAGTCCATCCCCCCTTAAGCACCCCTAATTTTAATTGCACACTCACTCCTTCTTCCAGCTGCCGACAAGATGGCGGGGAGCTACAAGAGCGACACTACCAGAGTCGAAGAGCCTTCGCTAGAAACTAGTGAGTTGCGATAATGCCCCATCCTCAGTTTCTTTTATCCGGTGGTCATCCTAGCTTACAGACTGGGACCAAGGGGGGAGAACCAGCAGCAACTCGGTACAGGCCCAAGTCAACCAGCTGGAAGACATTGAGTCTCTATCTCGCTTCGAGGAAGAGACAGCAGATCGTGGAATCGGTGCTCTCCATCATATCCGTTCCAGGACTCGCAGTAGAACAAATGAAACGCTGATAGACTGGGCGTACAATGATCCTGAGAATCCCTACAACTGGCCCATGGCAAGTGTCACCCTAACTATCGAGAGCTCTTCTTTGGCCAGGACCGATACTGACTCCAGAGTCTAGTTCAAAAAGAACATCGTTACCTTCCTCAGCGGGATGCTCGTGATCAACTCGACCATGAACTCGGCACTCCCAAGCATGGCCATCCCATTCATCACCAAGGAATTCGGTATAACATCAAGCGAGCAGAAAGTGCTCCCCATATCCATCTACTTGGTCGGCTATGTGTTGGGACCCATCGTCTGGGGCCCCCTGAGTGAGCACGTCGGCCGTCGATATCTGAGCATCTGCACCTTCGCCATGTTCAGCATATTCACCATGGCCTGCGGGTTCTCCCCCAACTGGTCCGCCCTCCTCGTCTTCCGCTTCTTCTGTGGAATGTTTGGAAGTGCTCCCATTGCGGTCGTGGCCGGTATCCTCGCGGATGTCTACGGCGAGCCGAGGACACGTGGTAGAGCGTTTGCCATCTTCATGGTGGTACGTTGTGTCTCTCTCTCACTCCCGTCCCGATCCTCATCGCCCCCTCCCCCTTTTCCCCTAACGCTGGATCGCTAACATCACTCCTCGCCCATCCAGACAACCGTATTCGGCCCGCTGTTCGCCCCCATCGTCTCCGGATTCTGCTCAACCACCATCGGCTGGCGCTGGACCTTCTGGATCGGCGTCTTCTTCGCCGCCGCGACCCTCGCCGTGGTCCTCTTCCTCCCGGAGACCTACGGTCCCATCCTCCTCGCCCGCCGCGCCAGGAAGATGCGGGCCGAGGACCCCGACTCTCGCGCCATCTCCCCGCGCGACCTCGAGGAGACCGACCTTTCCCAGCTCTTCACCGTCGTCCTCACCCGCCCTATCCGCATGCTCCTCTCCGAGCCCATCGTGTCCACCACCTGTGCCTACCTCGCCCTCGTCTACGCCATCTTCTACATGTCCTTCCAGGCCTTCCCCATCATCTTCTCCAGCCTCTACGGCCTCTCCCCCGGCGTCACGGGGCTCTGCTACCTCCCCATCGGCGGCGGCGCCACCCTGAGCCTCCCCATCTTCTGGTTCTGGGACGCCTACCTCGCGAAGGCCACCGCCGCGGGTGCGTCCTGGACGAGGCGCGAGGAGTCCCGCCGCTTGCCCCTCGCCCTCATAGGCGGGCCGGCCTTCGTCGTCGCCCTGTTCTGGCTAGGATTCACCTCCCGTAGCAGCCTCTCCTTCGTCGTGCCCATGCTTGCCGGTATTCCCTTCGGCCTCGGCTTCATGCTCATCTTTATGGCCCTCCTCAATTATCTCACTGATGCCTATGATATCTTCGCTGCTTCTGCCAATGCTGCTGCCTCTTGTTGCCGTTCCCTTCTTGCCGTTGTCCTCCCTCTTGCCACAAGCCGTATGTTTGACGATTTGGGTATTTCAGGTGCCTGTGCCCTTTTAGGTGGTCTTAGCGCTGGGATGTGCATTATTCCATTTGTCTTCATTTGGAAAGGCCCCGTGATTAGGGAGAAATCCAAGTTTTGTATTGCTTTGCGCGAGCGGAGAGAAGAAATTCATCGTAGGGCGGAACGAGAAAGGGAGAGATTGGAGGGCCTATGGAAGGAGGAGAAGGGCACTAAAAATCCAGAGAGTGATCACTAATTTGACTTCATCCACGGATAATTTCACCAGGGACCCAGGGCTTAAAGTGATGTGGAAAAACTATTGGTATTGGTTGATTCATGCCTTGGAAGCTATATTGAGGTTCTGTTTCGACCATTTTCTGGGGAAATTATCTATATAAAAACCACACTAGCATTTACAATGCTGAGAATAAGAGTAGCTATAAATATCCCGTCTGACAAAATGACCTGGAAGAAGAGAAAAAAAACTTATACACAGCCGTTTCTTTAATCATGATATACAACTTATCTGCGGAATCTGCTCCAGATAATAATGGATTGCTTGGGAGTTTGAGCTGTGAGCAACAGTATTGACTAATGTTACCACGTTAGGTTATTGACTCCCATGATCTAGGCCAACTGCATGACTTCAGCCATTCATTGTTGCCCTCGTCTGTAGCTTTCATCGATGAGTGCAGAAATGGTTCACTTTTTGCTGGCATGAGTTCCGTGAGAGTAGGAGATTCAGCCGCTCTTGCTTTGGTGAGAAGGTTCGTCGGGTTCTCGGGGTTTTCATTGGTGGAATGAATGCTCATTGACGCTTGAGATTCATGTTGGTTGATGTCGTGTCTGCCTTCGCCTGTGTCGGCATCCAAGCCTAAGGGCTCGACATACTGTTCATTCTCTCGCTCACTAGCCTGCTTTATGGACTTTTGACGCTTCCTAATTAGAGGAGAAATAGCTAATTCCTTGCAGGCTTCCCGAAAACGTGGGATTGGATATTGTTGGTCTTCCAGAATGCCATTCTTTATGCCGGCAAAGCTGGCTCGAAAGGAGAAAATCTTGCGTAGGCCATTTTTCATGGCTTTTCGAAAAGCCCCTGGACTGGATAAAGATCTGACACTCAACATGTCTGATGCGTTGTCTTGTGTCTCACAAAGTTTCTAACTTGTCTCAAGTCTATCAGGTAGTGCTGGGGCAAAATCACGGAACCCTACTTCTTCCAGTCCATTTCTCTCGTGGCGCGTGTGTGAGGGATATCTTGACCATGATTTAGGAGGCATTCCAAGATTCCTTGAAGTTATTGCTGTCAATCCTCCGATATCCGACGGTGTATTATGGGCCGAATTCTGGAGGGCATTATATTGATTGCTGGGTGGGAGCGAGGTTATATCAATTGTTCCTCGTTCAGGCTGCAATGGTTCTGAGGTGTATGGGCGAGGGGAGTACAATCGCCTAGCGTCGCGTTTCTTTGGCTTTCTCTTTCCCCTGACATTGGTTTTGGCCCGGTATGGGTTGAGCCCATCAATTGAAGTAACTGCCTGATGTGCTGGAATTATACGTGCTTCTTTCCATAGTATAGCAACACCCTCCTCCAGCTCAGGGTTGCCGGCGGTGTTCAATCTTTCGGCTGGCTTCAATCCGTCTTCAGTAGTCCGCTTCCTAGTTTCTGTCGGCCTGTACGAACTCGCTCCAACAGAAATAACTCGATGATGCCTAGTTGTTTCGTGGCTTTTCTGCGCACTCTTTCCTTCACTCCTCTTAGGGCGAGTACCATAAGAGATAGACGCATGTACCGTACGCGCGACGTCAATATTTAAAAAACAGTCTTTGAACTGACCGTCGAGTTTTTCAACAGGTTCGCCTCGGGGCAAGGTATCTCCAAGCTTATTCTTGGCAGAGGCAAGTTCAGTCTCTCGGATCAGAACACTTCCTGTTTCGGATATTCTGGCCGATGAAAGCTCTGCACTATCTTGGCTTAACTCGCGAGACACCAGAGAGTGTCTTTCTGCTGCGTCGGAGTTGAAATCAACTTCTGCTGTTGCATAGGAACTCGATCTACCGAGATTTATTGACCCCGTGGAATCAGAACCAATCTCGTGGCCTGTATTGTTAGATCTAAGAAAGCAAGCCAGCATTACAGATTGAGAACTGCTCACATCGAAAGGGAATCCAGGTGACACTATTGAGATCTTGGGGGTCAAGGTGGTGTAGATTTAGATAAGAACGAACGGGGCTTGGCTGAAAACTAGGCCTAACAGAGTTATAATTCGAGGAGCCATTGTCTAGTTGAGAGTTGAATGCGAGTGCAGCGGCGTAGCTTTCGGCTAGTTCTTGGGAACTTGATTTCTCTAGTACCGGGATATCCTTGTAGTTGGCCTGCCCTTGCTCCTCGATATCGACATTGGAGGCGGCACCCGCAGTATTTCGCAATGAGATTTCAGAGATTGTGGACATTTTATCAGATCCCTTCGATATACTGTCGTCTGAAAGGTTCTTGGTTATCACAGATAAGTCCGCTGATAGGTCCTTTAATACGTTGTCTTTCTGATTCTCCGGAGAGGGTGAAGAGTGCCTTGGCACGGTGAATTCCTTGCCATCCGAATCATCTGTGCTTATTCCGGGACTTTCGGTTAACGAAAGTTTTTGGGCCATCAGCCATGTATTGAGAGCAGACTGATAGTCTTCGGAAGATTGCTCAGCCCGATTTGATGTTTGATGAGATGGGGGAGCTACGTCTGATTGTGGGCTAGTTGGAGAGTTCGTCAAACAGGGAACCTGTGGTATGACCTTATCATTCTGATCCTCACATTGCCCCGTCTGATTGTTATTGTTGGGGGCCTGCTGAAAATTGGCGGAGGACAACAAGGAGTCGTATGATGGGGACTGTAGGGGGGCTGTCTTCCTTCCGTTGAAGGTATCCGACGACTTGAAACTTGTTTTGGTGGAATGCTCAACTGGAGAGGACATATTTTTATCCAGGACAAGGAACTCTATGGTGTCTCGTGGCCCTCCGTGGTTTGTCAGGCTGGTCAATGAAGAAAAACAGGGTGTGTTTCTGTGAGAGGATGCGATGCTCTGATCTTCCTGGTTACGCGCTCCATCGAGTTCTTCTTGAATTCTCTGTTGTCTCAGTCGTCTGAGCTCTGCTCTTCGGGCAACTTCGTTTTCGCTGTTGCCAGGAAAGATGCGAGAGCGCTGGATGGTCTCACGCTCACTTGGAGACTGGCGAATTAACCTTGTGCGTATGGCATCGAGAACAGAGCTTGTCTTTCTGGCAAGCCTGGCTTGATTGCATTCGCTCTCGGAATCATCGACTACCAACTCATCAAGTTCGGTCGGCACGCCCAGAGCGATGGGAGTACCACTGCAGCTGTTTCCACTTGCAATCTGCGGTTGCGTTTGTTTGGGCTGTATTTCACTTTGGGAACGAATAGAATTCCGGGAGCATGGAGGCTCTAATGATCTTTCGATGGTGTCCTCGATGGGACCTGGCGGCGGCTGGAAACTTGGTCCCCGGGATGGAGGAAGACAGCAACAAAGGCCAGCCATGAAGACTCTAGGTTTTGTTTGGCCAGGCGGAACAGAGAAGCAAGAAAACTAAGGTCATTTCCAAGAAAGACAATTTCAATTATTGGAGGGTTTTCCGGTGTTATGAGAAAATTGATCTTCCGGTAGAAGAATTAAGAAAGGTGATCAGTTAGAGGCCTGCCTGTTGTGGCCCATGGAGTTTGCAGGTCATTTGAAGAAAGAACGACCATGTTGGTAGCTGATCCCTATCCTGTGAGTGTGTAACTTTGGCCTTAAAGTAAGAAGTACCATGGGGTAGGCACACGGAACCGGCACACAGTTAGCTAGGTAGATCGTGGGTAGGCACATTAGGTATCAGGTAGGTACGTTGGTTCTGGTAGGCACCTGCTATTGAGTTATTGAAGGCAGCCAATGTTCCCAGAAACGCAATAGAGGTTGGCAATACAAGGGCATGCCTCCATGTATCTAGGTACCTATCATGACCTTGACTTGCTGCTTCCGGTGCCTATCAGGCATCTGTCTCCCATATCTAAGAAACAAAAGACCATGGAATTTCAATGAATGGGGCCACCCCTTCTGAAGAATTTCAGTAACTGCTTTGATTTAAACCCATCAAAATTTGCCAAAGGCTCGGGAAGCACACGGAGACAGCTCCAGCTTGCTAACTAGCGGCCATTTTCAAGAGCTGTGCCAAGCACCTGAGAGCTTAAATCTACGCCAATTGTCAGTCAGGAAGCACTTGTGCTTCTGTAGTGTTAGAAAAAAAATGACCGGGCGCTTATTATCTCTAAATTCAATGAATGGCCGCTTCTGCAAATTGTATTCCTCGTTTTCCACAGCAGTCACGATATCGCCACTCGGGGCCAAGTGGATGCCAAGTTGAACAGGGATCCGGGATTGGGGAAAAGAAGAGGCTGGCCTGATTTGAAGAGTTTGTTCTCAACAAAACTACTTAGGCAGTGCTTGTTCACACTACGGCAAGCGTTCTACGGAGAACACCTGTCCTCGTACGGAAAGCGGCAACGGATTAGGGGAGAAAAAAAAAACACTGCGATAACAATCGAGCCAGCAGCCGGTGCCGGTGTGAGACAGCCCATGTCAAAGCCGGGACCAAGATGGTGCAATCTTCTGATGGGTCCCCCGAGTGCCTTCTTTGGCCATTGATCGTTTCCAAGCTAATTATGGAGCTCGTTTCCATAGCTACTGCTCCGAAAAGTGTGCGAGAGAGCCGCGTTGCTTGATCAGAGCTCTCAATTCCTCCTTATGGCCAGCTCGCTGTGTTTCATCCCAGCAGCGACTGACCGCCAAAGCTAGGAGTACTTAAGCGTGCAGGAGGCCAAGGACAAAGTTTACCAATTGGTACATGCCGGGGCGTACCCGAGTAGAGAAAAGAGCTGCTATCAGCTGCTCGTCAACCGTGTTGGGTTCTACAAAGAGGTATTCTACATGGACGGGGAAGAAACATGCCCATTACCGTGTCGGGTGGAATGTAAGACGGGCAGGATACTTGGGCTTGTGGTAGACGGAGACCGACGTGATACTCCAGAGCGTGTAGATGTGATTCGAGAGTACCTCCGATCCAGGTGCCCAGGCGGCGGCCAGGGAGAACCCCTCCAGGTACCCTCGAGGTACCGTGCGAATGGGACCCGAGTCAACGAGCGTGAATGGCGAAGCTCCCAGGAGAGCTTGACTCAAAGTAGCCGAAATACGTTATCTCGCCTTGCTGGACTCAGCACGTGGTGGTAATTGCACACAGTGGAAATTTGCAACGCAGGCATCAACTGCAACACAACCTAACCGCTAGCACAGGCCAATCGCGGCATGCTGCCAGTGCATGCGAGTGCGTCAGGTTGAGGTGTTGAGGCGTGCCCCTCCCCCGCTTTCGGTGCGCCTTTTCTCACTTGTCACTAGCAGACCCTTCATTTTCGAGGGCCCTTTTCTTCCCCCCTCCCGCCACTACTGCTCCCAACCTTTTCTCTCCTCTTCTTTTTTTTTTCTCCCCAAACCCTCGCTACCCAATTGATTTTGATTTGGGTATCATCCTCTTCTTCCTATAAAGAGTGCCTGTCTTCCTGTTTTTAGTAGCAGGACGTCCAGCACACTTTTTCCCTTTCTTCTACCCCGCCACAGTACGTTCGTGCCTCTCACCTACCCCGCCATCCCAAGACACAGAGCTGGAGCTGACCACACGATCTCTTCTAGACTTGCTACACTAAGCAAGAACCGTCAACATGGTTCAATCAGCCATTCTCGGTTTCCCCCGCATGGGTGTGAACCGTGACCTGAAGAAGGCCACCGAAGCTTGTGAGTCGACCCCAAGCTGCTCGTCGAGCTCTGCATGAAGCAGACGGAGATGCCTATACTAACATTACCTTCTCTAGACTGGGGCGGAAAGATCTCCCAGGCCGATCTCCTCGCCGAGGCCAAGCGACTCCGTCTTGCTCACTGGAAGATCCAGCAGGATGCCGGTGTTGATGTCATCCCCAGCAATGACTTCGCCCTGTACGACCACGTCCTGAACCACATCCAGGACTTTGGTGTGCGTATACCCCCTAGGCTTGAGAGCCTCCATCAAGCTTCATATTGAGCAGCAATTGACCCTCCTCTATAGGCCGTCCCTCCCCGCTACACCAAGGATGGTCTTGACCTCGTCGACCAGTACTTCGCCATGGGCCGTGGCCACCAGAAGAACGGCATTGACGTTCCTAGCTTGGAGATGGTCAAGTGGTTTGACTCCAACTACCACTACGTCAAGCCCACTCTCCAGAACGGCCAGACCTTCAAGCTCGCTGACGAGCCCAAGGCTGTTGCCGCTTTCAACGAGGCCAAGGAGGCTGGCATCAAGACCCGCCCCGTCCTCGTCGGTCCCGTCTCTTTCCTCCACCTCGGAAAGGCCGACCGTGACCAGACCGTCGACCCCATTGACCTTCTCGATGCTCTTCTGCCCGTCTATGAGCAGCTTCTTGTCAAGCTCAAAGAGGCTGGTGCCGAGACCGTCCAGATTGACGAGCCCACTCTGGTCTTTGACCTCCCTGCCAAGTCCAAGGCAGCCTTCAAGCCTGCTTACGAGAAGCTCGCCAGCCTCGGCGACAAGATCCCCAAGCTCGTCTTCACCACCTACTTCGGTGACATCGTCCACAACTTGGATGTTCTCCCCAAGGACGTCTACGCCGTCCACGTCGACCTTGTCCGTAACCCCGAGCAGCTCGATGAGGTGATTGGCGCTCTGGGCCCCAAGACTATCCTCTCTGCCGGTGTTGTCGACGGCCGTAACATCTGGAAGACCAACTTCAAGCGTGCTATTGAGACCGTCGAGACTGCTGTTCAGAAGCTCGGCAAGGACCGTGTCATCGCCGCCACCTCCAGCTCTCTCCTCCACACTCCCCACACTCTCGCTAGCGAGAAGAAGCTCGACGCTGAGATTGCCGACTGGTTCTCTTTCGCCTCCGAGAAGGCTGTTGAGATCGCCATTATTGCCAAGGCCGTCACTGAGGGCCCTGCTGCCGTCCGTGAGCAGCTCGAGGCCAACGCCAAGTCTCTCCAGGCTCGTGCCTCTTCCAGCCGCACCAACGACCCCAAGGTCAAGGACCGCCAGTCCAAGGTCACCGACGCTGACTACAAGCGCAAGTCTGAGTTCCCAACCAGAATTTCTCTTCAGCAGAAGAAGCTCAACCTTCCCCTCTTCCCTACCACCACTATTGGTTCCTTCCCTCAGACCAAGGAGATCCGTCTCCAGCGTAACCGCTTCACCAAGGGCGAAATCACCGAGGCTGAGTACGACAAGTTCATCGAGAAGGAGATTGAGGAGAACGTCAAGATCCAGGAAGAGCTTGACCTTGATGTCTTTGTCCACGGTGAGCCCGAGCGTAACGACATGGTTCAGTTCTTCGGTGAGCGCCTGAACGGCTATACCTTCACCACCCACGCCTGGGTCCAGTCTTACGGATCTCGCTGCGTCCGTCCTCCTATCATCGTCGGTGACATCTCCCGACCTGCTCCTATGACTGTCAAGGAAAGCAAATATGCCGTCTCCATTTCTAAGAAGCCCATGAAGGGTATGCTTACTGGCCCCGTCACCTGCCTCCGATGGTCTTTCCCTCGTGACGACGTTCACCAGTCCGTCCAGGCTGAGCAGCTTGCTCTTGCTCTCCGCGACGAGGTTGTTGACCTCCAGAACGCCGGTGTCGGTGTCATCCAGGTCGATGAGCCTGCTCTCCGTGAGGGTCTCCCTCTCCGCGCCGGCAAGGAGCGCACTGCCTACCTCGACTGGGCCGTCAAGGCTTTCAGACTCAGCACTGCTGGTGTCGAGGACGACACTCAGATCCACTCTCACTTCTGCTACTCTGAGTTCCAGGACTTCTTCCATGCTATTGCTGCTCTTGACGCTGATGTTCTCTCTATCGAGAACAGCAAGTCTGACGCCAAGCTCCTCAAGGTCTTCGTCGACGAGGCTTACCCTCGCCACATTGGCCCTGGTGTCTACGACATCCACTCCCCTCGTGTTCCCAGCGAGCAGGAGATCAAGGACCGCATCCAGGAAATGCTTGCTCACCTCAAGCCTGAGCAGCTCTGGATCGACCCTGACTGCGGTCTCAAGACCCGCCAGTGGAAGGAGACCAAGGAGGCCCTCGTCAACCTTGTCAACGCCGCCAAGGCTTTCCGTGCCCAGTACTCCAAATAAATGGTTACTGCGAGTGTGACGGGGAGTGGCGTTGTGTGTGAAGAGTTGTGATAACTATGTGCTATACGATGGAGGCTGCCATCGGTCAGCTACGATTTCAACATCGGCGTTTGGGCCTGGATAGGGGATTTTACTTACTGCATATCAAAAAAGTTTAGCATGGATGAACTTAGAGCCGGGGGGCTCGCATTCAACATAAGATGAATAATGAACGAATAACTTAAGATTCAATACCAATTTAACAATATTCGGCCACTGGCCTGAGAATTCAAGAAGAAAAAAACCTTCGCCTCGAACTATAATGTGAATGGCCTTACAAACTGATGGATTTTGATCAATTTCCTACCTTCGTAGGTAGACTTTGTACCCTGCCAAGTGGGGGTGTAGACACTCAAACATTAAGCTGCTTATTTTCGAGTCTGCGACCGGTATTGTTAGATTATTAAGTGATAATAATACAAACTTCTAAGATAATTCGATGTGTATTGTCATTTTATACGACTGAAATTCTCTGTCTATTGTAGAAAGTAGTCTTTATAACTACCTAATCTTCCACCAGTTGTCTGATTTCTCTTGCTGCTTGCTTAAGAGAGGATTCACGTGACTTCGCGTTTTTGGCACGCGTCCCACCCTCTCAGCAGACACGTCCGCCTCGAAACTGCCCGTCATTGTCTAGGTGATCACAAGCCAACGAACAGGCATCCTCCAGGGAAGTGCTTCTTTTGGTCTCTTGTTCTTCGGAAACATGCGGTCTTCAGTTGAAAATGGATCCAATCGTCATTGCTGACTCAGATGGGGATGATGATGAGGTTCACTCTCCCCCCTTCAACCACACAGAGCCCCCAATTGAAGGTCATGTTGAGTTGGCTGGTGCTTCAGATTCCACGGATCCCTCATTCTTCAAGAACGTGTTTAATGAACACTTCCAGGCTGCCATAGATCCTCTGCAGGCCGCTGAACTGAACCGCTACGGCGAGGAAGACGAGCTGAGTCACGAATTTTTCGACAGGGGCAACCAGCCAGACCCAAGGGTTGCTGAACCGATGGCGGAAGAGCCAGATCCCTGGGAAATACCCAGCTCTCCGGAGAACCCTCCTAAGATGATGGTTTTCCAATCCAAGAAGAGCCGCGCTTCTGGTGGAACGAGCAATACGTCTCCGACCAGGAATGGCCCCGACGTTATTGATGACGAGAGTGGGAATAGGAGGGGGAAGAAAAGGAGGCTCAATCATCACAATGCGCCTGAGGAGATCCCAAGCCAGGATCCCCTCGCCCAGAGCATGCCGCACGACGAGCCAGAGTCTCAGAGGCCCGCGCCGGACCAGTCCAGCATGTTCCCACCAACGCTCCCGCTCCCCAGCAGGCTAGTCGTGGCCCCGAACCCTTTGACTAACAACCAAAAGATGGAGTATCACAGCGTCGACCCGCAGTCCAGCGACTTGCTCAGCCAGGACCAAGGGCCGGCGCTCCCACGCCAGATCGGCGCGTTCGAACGGTCCAGCGGATCGGCTACTAACATTAACACGCCGCGGAGCCAGTTCGTGCCTTCCAGAAGCCAGAATCTGGACTTTTCGGAGCCAGGTCCTCAGAGGGTATTGACGTTCAATACACCAGATCACATGGTCAATCAGGAGGGAGAGCTGCCCCCACTGATCGGTACTGCCCCTCCTCCCCGAACGGCTTCTCCTCCGGAAATTCCACATCCGGCGCCCGTAATGGAGAAGCCGGTAGCATCGTACGGCCAGGACGAGTTGGCGTCTGAGCCTGTGACGACATCTACTCGGAAAGAGGAGGAGAATGAATCAGATTTCGAGGACTCGTTTGCGCAGCCCAAGAAGAAGAAGAAGAGGGGTCGGCCCAAGAAGGAGCCAGCGCAGAAGGCCACAGTCGAAGCAGCCGACTCTCAAATCATTGAACCGAACAAGGAGGCTACACCGAGTTCAGGGGCAAAAAAGAAACGCGGGCGGCCGAAGAAATCGGACCAACAGGGGGCTGAGCCCAAGGCAGCGGATGTCAACGAGGTTCAAGATGTTAAACCCGTAAAAGCAAAGGCCAAAAAGAAAGCTTCAAAGAGCCCCGATATCTCGAAACAAGATCCTGAAGAGGGACAAAGCGCTACGGAAGAGTGCAAGAACGAGGATATAAAAGCGGACTGCGCTGCGGAAATAGACCAAGCAAGGGAAATGCCGGATACAGTTGATCAAAAAGGGGGTGCACATTCTGAAGTACCAGAGCATGAGAAGGCGGAGACAAAGTCAAATAATGATGAGAAACCTCCAGAACAGCCATCGAAGGGAAAGCAGGCCACAGCTTCCCCGGCCAAGTCTCTGTTCAGTCCTGGGATCCCGACCAAGGCTAGTTACCGTGTGGGACTCAGCAAGAGATCGAGGGTTGCTCCCTTATTAAAGATTGTGCGAAAGGACATCAAATAGAAGGAGATCTCACGATTTACTAGAAAATATTAAGAGATAGAAATGTCTACAAGTCGTAGACGGTTCGCATAACGAGGAGACGAACTAGCTACGAAATAATTGATGAAGGGAATGATGGGCGGACACCATGCCCGTCAGCCAGCTATATATGGTTGACTTCCCGGTGGTTTCAATTAGTCTTGCCAGAGTGACAATCTACTATATATTTGGATACACCAGTAGAAGATGGTGCAAATGCCAGTGCTGTTAACAAGACTTGACTGGTTCGTATTTAATGCTTTCCTATACCTAGTATGCTTGATGTTGGCCTACAATTCCAATGTACCATGGCCTAATAGATGATAATGACGCAGGACCTTTGACTACAGTCGAAAAAAACCGGACGTATTTCCTGAGTGAGATGAGCACCGGAAAATAAAAGCAAGCACTGATGGTAGCCCAAAAACGCCAACTCAGCCAGTATGCATGGCTGACCAACCGACAACCATCACCACAACCCGTTCGTGCTCGATATGCCTCTAGTCATGCCTGAGACCCCCTTCCGTTCAATGTGAGACGCACACACGCAACTCACATGAAAGCCGGCTTTATTCCAAGCCTTCTCTGTTCGTTCCGGGGAACCGTATATTACAGTTTTGTGCTGTTAGTCCATCGACTTGATGTTTTTCTTGATGAATTCAAAGGAGGAGAAAAAGATGGCATTGACGACACACGAGCGGCTCATGGATACCCCCAGGCCGCGGTACATGTGTTTCTTAAAGAATTCGATCTTCGGGGCAGGGACCTTCTCTCCTTTCGAGTGCAGCAGGGCGTTCCTTTGGTAGATGCTCTTGGCTGAATCGATGGGGTCTGGTACGAGCAAAGTCAGCGATTGTTCCGGGGGAGGGACATGGCCCGATGTTCACGCCAACGTACATATAAGAGCCCACGAGACAAGCCCGCACAATCCACCCGCCGTCACGACAGCCAGCTTATTACTGCCGGGCTTGTCGCCGCTAAAGGTAGTCCCCAGATGCTTGCCGCTTTCGTAGACCATGAAGTATATCGCAGTCCCCAGGGTATCCCGCACTGTCACATGTCAGCAATGCAGGTAAAAGAGGGTCCCGGGAGCGCAACATACGGAGATGCAGGCCCAAGCCAGTGTAGAGGCCAAAAATTCCGCGGTGCTTGATGATGTTTCTCATCGTTCTCAGCGTGCCCTTGTTTTGGTAGCTTTCCGCCACCGCACGACTTCGCTTGTCGTTGCCGGCCCGCTCTGCAAGCAGGACGGACACTTGGGCGCTCAGTTTGGTGAGCTCAAAGGGACATGCCAGGAACGTTATGGCGGATCCTGCTGTGGCGCCCGCAGCGCCAAAGCAGGCAACTGAGTAGAGGTTGGGGTATGAGCCGGGCTTGTTGACATGTGCAATAATGTCAAAACCGGAGTGGCGTTTGACCCAATCAGCGTAGCTGTATTTGGAACGCTGGTAGATGGAGAAGGAGGTTGTTCGAACGAGAGCAATGCTCGCCATTGGCGCAGTCACACCTAGAGACAGAAAGGGTTAAGATATCGGCCTGTTGCTGCGAAGTACTCATGCAAAAGCCAGCCGCATCTACTCACCTCGAAAGAACCCTCCCAAGTGTTCCGTGCGATATGTGTGTCTGACACAGTCCAGAAATCCATTGTAGTGGTACGTTTGCATGCGGGTCTTGACACTGTCGAGAGGGAACGCTGTGAGCGTGGAGAGAACGCTGGAGGAGCTGGCAGCGATCTCGGTTCGATACCGCTTCACGAAGGCGGTAGAAATAGTGTTGGTTTGCCGGCGGCTGCTGCCCGCACCGGAGTCGGACTGATTCATGGCAGCGGGCGCGGGACGAGCTGGGGCGACATGTTGGTGATGGTCGATTCTGGCCTCTGCAGCAGTCATGCTTCAGGGCAAGGGGACAAGGGCGCCTCAGACTGAGGCCTCACGAGAGACCAGAGTCCTGGGCGCGGTCGCAGCACGGCCAGTCGTCAAGCGCCGATGGTCCATAAAGGGCCTCTCCCAGTCTCGTTCGTTTCGCAGTGCAGTGGGTATGCCGGTGCCTTGGGAATCCGGTCAATGTGGTGGTTTGGGGCGGGGGAACGAGATGGTACCGATCGGCGAGGGAGGCTGATCCAATCCAATCCAGACACCCAGCTCCACGACGGCAGAGGGACGGAAAAGGGAGCAGGGCGAGGCCAATCGGAGTCAGGCTAGGCTGCTCTGGGATGAACGAACAGCCGTTCGTCTAGGTCGTGCAATTCCAGGTCGATATGGACGGGCATCAGTGAGTGTGAGGGAGGATGCGACCCATGGTGTTGGGGACGACTGACCCCGTTGGAGTTTGGCAGAGCTTAATTACAGGGTCTTTCGGCTGTGTCCCCCAAAATGCCCCCTCCCTCCACTCCCCTCCACCGAGCAGTGCTGCCGCCCACCAACCAGAAGCCCCCGGACGAGGCCATCTGCCGTACCCACGCCACTGTGCCGCGGGGCTTCAGCACACAACAGCACGTCCACGGCTCGCCGAACGGCCAAGGTTCTAGGCAGGTCTGGTGCTACGATAGGCCCCGGCTGGCCTAGAACTGACTCCCGTCACCACAGAACTGGCTCACTGCACGGGCAGCACCCGGATAGCGAGCATCGGCAAACATGTTCCCACGCCGCCGATCGGGTGCTAGTGCGCTATCCGGCCCGTTATCGCCATGTGTCGGTATCGCTGGTGCCCAAAGCATGTGATTCGCTAGTGCCTATAACATACCTGTGAACGAGCAGCAGTACGACAGATTACATTGATGTGCCATCTCTTCCCACAACCAGACGCAGCGGCAGCACATACCTCGCAAGCCAGACAGATCTTTCCCAATCCGTCGTTGTGACAGCACCATTATGAAATCACTGCTGGGGATAAGCAGCCATCAGCCATGGAGGGATAGCCCCGCCCCAAAGGGATCTGCAATATGCAACCCGTCCTATGTTTCGATAATGCTATATGCGTTCAACTCCTCTTTTACATTCATGTCTCCCATGGATTCAATTGCCAGCTCCAACAAGCCCGTCCAGATGAAATGCTCAGAGATAGCCCCAACTCAGCAACTGTATCGTCGCTGTCCAAATATCCTTTTTACCACAAGTCCGCCTGTGGGCAGTTCACGGACCATTCCGTCATGTGAATAATACAATAGACTGGAAGCCAACCGAGGGCACGTCGTATTTAGTGCTTGGCTCTCAACTGTCGTAAAAGGTCCGGAGGGACCGCAGTGTTGAGTCCTTACTACCAGGGACCAGAGGTGGATGTGTTCCACCATCAGAGAAACAGACGACTGCAAACCTTACAGACCTGCGTGCCTATAAGTGAGTCTAATCTATGTTCAAGATAGCCACTGGGTAGCCATTTAGCCTTCACCAAAGAGCGCTCCCATATGTTCATTAGGCCACCATAACCATCACAGTAGGGGTGGCTCAAGATGCCGATGCTTCTGCCTCGCCTTCAGCATCTGGCACAGTTGGCGTTGGCGCTACTTCGCCGTTGTGTGACTGGAGAAGGCGCTCATCCTCCTTCTTCTGGCGGAGTGCCTCTGTCTCCTTCCTCAACTTCTCCAGATTCCATACATCGTCGTCGTCGTCATCATCAGCATCCGACTCATCTTCATCCCGCCACTTGCCACTCTCAAACAGAGAGCGACCAGTGTTTTCCTTGGCCTTTCGAGCTTGCTCTTCAGCAGCCTTCTTGTCAAGGCGCTCTTTCTTCCACTTAGCGAAAGTCTCTGGTGTGACCGGGGTGAGAGTTCCGGTCAGCTTATGGCGTTCTGATTCCAGGAAGTCTTCCAACGTCAACGTCTTGAGCGGCGACTTATCGAGAAGTGCCTTCTCTGCAGCCCGCTGTTCTTTTGTCTTGAGAATGAAACTACAGTATTGTTAGTGCGTGTGCTTTCTCTGATCCAACCAGTGAACCCGGTTGAAGGTCGTTTGATGACTCACCCAGGTGGAAGTGCATGCTTGTACATGCATTTATCTCCCCCGTTAGGGCAGATCCAGAACCATCCGTACTTTCCATCCTCAATCGCTGAAATGAAGAATTTGCACACTTTCTCCGTCGTTGTCCGTTGGTTACCCTTCTTAGACAAAACGACCTTCCGCAGTTGTTCCTCATCCCAGTCGGCAGATGTCTCCTGTTTCTTGTTCTCATCCTCCTCCCCTCTTTTATCTGTGTATAGGTTCGCCTTTTCGGTTTTGCGTTCGATGGATAGATCGTGTGCGAATTTGCACTTCTTTCCCTTCTCACAGTTGCCTTTTTTGTAGAAAATGCACACAACCGTCTTGGGGTCAACACCAAAGGGGACTTTCTGAATTTGGGCTGGACGGTTGAGGAGAGCCTCCGTTTCTCGTCGAGCGTCCTCGGCGGCCTTCTTCTCCTTCTCTCTTTGTGCCTTCTCGGCGGCCTTTTTCTTCTCCTCGGCCGAACCTCCAGACTTGAGGTTCCTCGTCATCTGGTCAATCTGCTTTTGAGCAGCAGCTCCCTTCTTGTTTTTCATTCCAAATGTCCGGTCCTCTACCAGCTTGGAGGCCGAGGGCTTCTTTCCACCGCCACCAGCATTTTTGTCACCCTTCTTTGGAGGCATCGTAACGGTTTGTCGAACAAGCGAGCGAAGTCTGATCTGTTGAACTCTAGAAAATGAAAGTGAAAATGACGATGCGAACGACACAGTCCCCAAGATGATTTTTCTTAGTTTATGGCGTATCGAAATAAGGCTAGTGGCTTCGGGCGGGCAGAAAAGCAAGAGGATATTTGGTGGGATGGTGGCTCGTCAAGGCTGCCTTCGATGACAGTGGGGTTATCGGGCAAAGTCAAACATGTTAGATTGTGGGCGGGCTCGTCAGGCAAATGAGGTCACCGCGCGTCACGTGCGCCGCTCTAGCAGGTACCCTGGCCACTCTGAGCTCCCTGAAGCCGCGAACAATTGGACCCAGTCTGAGCTGGGGTTGCGTAACAGCTGTCCTGTTCAATTTGACAATCGCGATAACCACTTCCTCTCTCATTACACTCGTTATCCCGACCCAGGTCTCTCTGTTCTCTGTGAGGAAACATCAATTCAGTCTTTTTTTGCGCATAACTTTCTAATAGGACTTCCAGTGCTCAAACGACACCTTACGCCGTCAACCGAGGACCGATTCCATCCAACAGCAACAATGATTTCCGACGGCGACCTCTACACCCTTGCCATCTTTCTGGGCTCGGCTTCTATGGTTCTCATCGTTGTGTATCATTATTTCGAAGTCAATGCCCCCGAGAAAATAGCTCAGATCGAGAAGCCGGCGAAGTCTTAAGCTCACCTATTCGCGGAAGTCCATTTCTTTTAAACAAGGCGACATGTTCCAATCACGGCAATTATTATTTCTTTCGCAATCAAAATGTCTCGCTGCCCATCCTCCAGCAACCGCGAACTGGACACCTAGACGATAATGATCGGGAGATCTATATTTGAGCGAGTCTTTGGTCAAAACACAATCCACCAACACGTAACTGGCTGGCCGGCCAAGAGGGCTAGTTAAGGTTTGACGCCTACTGAAACAATTCACACATCGCAGCTGTTAGGAATTCCGGAATATTGTTTGGATTGGGGTATAAAACAGAGAGAGTGGTTCGAGAGAACATCGGCAAATTTGGCCTGAGCCAGGGCGTTATGAGTTAGGTCTCGGACTTGGAGAACCATTGTACATAATCGAGCGCATGATACATAAGCAAGCAGCAAATGAAAATCTGTGAAACCCAAGAGCGAATCGCTTCAACCCAGCTGCCCAGCGCCTCACAACTTACTTAAAAGCCTGCCGCTGATCGTCAGGCGACCAAGGGGCCAAAGCCCAACTGCGTCACTACCAGGCTGGAGGATGTTGCTTAGGCAGATCCCCAGCTGCTGAGGCCAGAATATTAGCCCGAGATTTCACCTCGATCGCAATTAATCAGTCAGCTTTTTGTGAGATTCTACGCCCATCTTATTCCTGTGCTGTGCACAAATAGATCAGTTCTAGGTTGATGTAAATGTCTGCTCGCGATTGGACCCCTAGCCAGCACCAGCGCTGCGGCTCGGCTGTTCCATTGACGCACCTGCCGTACTCCTATTGTGGCTGAACACAATGGGCCCAGGCAGCAGGTGCCTGCCAAGGTACCTCCGTACCCTCTACTGACGCGCCAGACATGCACTGAGCGATACCTGCCAAGTCCATGGCCCGGAGACCCACATGTGCGACCAGAGCAGCCTAAGCGCCTCTGATTGGCTGAATCGCAGCCATCCTGTGGCAATGTGTACTGTGGATGTACCCTTTCGCGTTGGCGGCGCGCAGGCCGTCGGGTCAGCCTGGACGAACAGAACGCCGACAAGGAAGCCCCTCTCCCCCTTCGCTTGGGCTGTGCTTACCTGGCGCCTCTTTTGTTTCTTCGCTTTACGCACTCCCTCCCTTTCCTTGCTTTCACCCTTTCATTCACACTCTCTCTCACAAACTCATACAACAAGACCAGAATCTCCCAGATCTTGTCTTTCGTGATTTTGCATCCTGTGCATCATCTTTTCTTGAAAGACACTCACTTCCCACCCATAACCGCAGATCTGGGTTTTGCGACCGCGTTTTTCAATCGCAAACCTCAACGCGACCAGACCAATCTACTCGACTTATCTTCGAGAGCTACAGCGCCCGACAGATACCGCCTATCTGCTTGTTGAGTCAATAATTACGTCTCAGCAGTAATCAGTCGATTTCTTCTACCCCGAAAAAACTCTTCTCGGCTTTTAAGCAACTTTTCCTCACTCACCATCATCATGTCCGGCAAGCTTGACCAGTCTCTTGACGAGATCGCCACCACCCAGAAGCGAGCCTCTACCGGCCCTCGCCGCAGATCTCAGCGTCGCCCCGCCACTCGCGCAGTTCCTACTGCCCCTGCTGGAGGAATCAAGAAGGCCACCAAGCCTACCCGCAATGTCGGTGCCAAGGGCGCTCCCTCCAAGCCTCTCCCTGCCAGAGGTGACAGCAAGGTCATTGTGAGCAATCTGGTAAGCATTTAACCCAACCTCGACGATAAATTTACCTGTGCTAACCTGCGGAAAGCCCAAGGATGTTTCGGAGCAGCAGATCAAGGTATGTTTCCGTTGAGGCGATCGAAGCCCACGGATTATTCCGATCTTTATTCTTGCTGTGATCTCTTTATTATTCCCGACACGGCGGCCTTTGGACGAGTGACAACGCTATGCCCTCGGGCTCATGTCATCGTAAAGATCCATACCTCCTCCTTCCTGAATCATCTTGGTGTTCCTGAGATATGGCACCAGATTCATCAGAGGAAGTCGAGATCGTCCATGGTCATACCGAGTGCTCCAAAAGCCTGGTCAGCTTACGAGCCCGATGACGCACGTTCATGGATGGGTTTGTGATTATAGTCGATGCGCAAAATCGTTTCAAACGAATAGCCAGATCCTCTTGTCGTCTTATTGTCGGTTGAATATCCATGCGAGCGAGCAAAACAGTGTATGCCTGATCCCGGCAGGCCAGCGCAACAGCGATACGAACTTTCCCGTGTTGTGACATTACGTCTTTTTCGATGATTCACACCGCATTTGCGGATCATTTTGGGTTTTTTTGCTGCTGGAGTTACGTTGATGGAAGCACATACCCAAAGTACCTATCAGCTGCGCGCCGCTCCTGGCTCACTGTTCTGCTCGCTTGCGCATCGACTCTGCTAGGCGGACTGTGTTCGCTTGGCAGCTTGTTTGTTGCCTAGATCGAGCGATACTTGTCGAAATAATTTCGGGCCTTTCCCAATACCCGTTAACTAACCCATCTGTTCCTTAGGAGTACTTTGTTCAATCCGTTGGTCCTATCAAGAAGGTCGAGATCTCCTATGGACCTAACTCTCAAAGCCGTGGAATTGCCAACGTTATCTTCCGCGAGGCGGATGGCGCTAGTAAGGCCTTCCAGAAGCTGAACGGTCTGCTTGTTGACAACCGCCCAATCAAGGTATGTGAGACGCACCCTCGCATTAACAGGACTCTATCCTAACTCTCTACAGATTGAGATTGTTGTCGGTGCTGCTCAAGCTGATAAGGTTATTCCTGCCGTCAAGACTCTTGCTGAGCGTACAACGTAAGTCCCAACGTATCTTGATCGCCATGTACAAGTAAACTAACATCACTCGAACAGTGCGCCCAAGGCTCAACCCAAGTCAGCCGTCAATGATAAGAAGGGTGCCACTGCCAAGGCTGGAAATGCCAAGCCCAATGCACCCAAGAAGCCCCGAGGTCGCAATGCTCGTCCGGCCAAGAAGACCGCCGCTGAACTCGACTCGGAGATGGCTGATTACTTTGAGGCCACCCCTGCCAACGACGCCACCGCTGCTGCCGCCGGTGCCAACACCAACGGCGAGGCTATGGAGGAGATCATGGTATGTAATTCAACTTTGGAAATTTATCATTTAATCAAACTAACCTTTGATAGTAAACCTTTTTATCGATTGACTTAATAATTGAAAGCATCGATGCTTAATATTGCTCTCGTTAAATGTTCTCGAGCTGGGTGCTGGCGTTTAGGTCTGAACAGAATGGTGGAAACATACTCAATAGCTATCACAAATTTGAACTATTTCTAAATCGCAACTTCTAATACCCTGCTATTGGTCTCAATAAAGAAATAATCTCTTTTCGCTTCGAGCACATCTTCTTGCGTAATCAAAGTGCAATTATCAACGCATGTCTAACCTCAAGGCCACCCATTCGCTAAATCTCTGAGATTTCCTCGCAGACAAGTCGCAAGGACGAGATGGGCAACAGAATCAGAATTTTATAAGGCATGAAGATTTCGTATTGCACTGCCGAAGATCAGTCGCCTTTGTGAGAGCACATTTCCCATTTGAGAATCTTTCAACACACCCACCTCGAGAGTGGTCTCATGGAGCAATTCATGTAACGAAGCCAACTACACAGGATAATATGGGATGAAATAACTTGGTCTCTACAGGAAACAGTGCAGCAGATATCAGTTTATAACATTTTCATAACGACCCCTCTAACCTCACGGCGCAGGAAACAGTCATAAACAAAAACAAAACAGTCCTTTCATGATAATTGTCCCAATTTCGCCGTCTTCCCTAAGTTTTCAGAAGCTGTAGGCTGATTTTTTCATTTATTCATCCGCCAATTAATTCACAAGTGATCATCTATTAGAACAGGCCAAGACGCAACCGGAAACTAGAAGTGATCTGGGTGGTATCTCGTCACAGTTCTGCAGTTGCAGAGCCGCGCAGCCTCTAGGCCTTCTTCTCCTCCTTCTTATCCTCCTCGAGGGCGGGGATGTCGTCATCATCTTCTTCGTCATCATCATCGTCGTTAAGGTCGTCGGGGTTGACTTGGGAGCCGAGGCCGCCCAGGTCGCCCAGGTCACCACCACCGCCACCGAGCTTGGAGAAGTCGATGCCGCCGAAGTCACCGCCCATACCAGGCATGCCACCTGCCACGTTCTCTGATTAGCCCCAGATACAATACTTATCCCAGCCTCGGAGGATCAAAAGACCAAAAAAAAAATTGATCCCCAGAATGGTTAAAAGGAGAATGCTCTACTTACCCATGCCGCCGAATTGCGAGAAGTCCTCCTCGGGAGCCTCGTTCTGCTCGTCCTCGTCAACCCACTTGTCGAAGTCGGTCTTGAGGAAGTGGAGCTTCTTCTTCTCCTTGAGCAGTCGGGGCCAGTACTCCTCCTGAAGCTCCTTCTTCTGCAGCTTCAGCTCCACGTTCTTGGCGGTGTGGTTGATCCTGCTCTCTGCGGGGTCGATCTCGGCGTAGAACTCGAGCTCGAGGTGGTAGGCCCGCTTGAGGGTGCCGGAGGTGCCGCTAAACGTCAGGCCGGTGGGCTTGAGGTCCAGCTTCAGGCCGTCCTTGGGCACATCGGGGACAGAGATGGTGAGGTAGACAAAGTTCTTCTCGGGCTCGGAGGCTGATGAGCGCTGGGCCCAGAGGACTACGTGGGGAGGTTAGCTGGGGAATCCTTCGCCGGTGCAGGGCTTCGCAGAGCGGACGCGCCCTGCGTGCACAGCTGTGCAATGCATGCCAAGCTCAAAGTAATCTCGTTGAAGAGTTAGGGAATAGTAACGTACCTTCGGGGGTAGCTGTCTCAGCCATTTTGTGATGTCGAGAAATAAATGCGTTTGGGTAGTGGAAGGCTAGTAATGTGCTTGGAGGGAGAAGATTAGGAGCGGGTAAGGGGGGAAAATTGGCTACTTGGTTGAAGTAGGTGCAGGAAAGAAGGATCGGTCAGTCACAGTTGCAAGCGCGGCGGCTTAATGAGGCTGCCCGCGAAGGCTGGGTACTAGAAAATGGAATGTGTGAGAACCAGAAAGATGAGGGCTGTGTGCCATTAACGCGGTACCTGGCCAGCCGGCACTTATAAGTCAAGCAACGAGGTACAGCCTTAAGATAATCTAGACACTTCCACGGCGGGGGATGTACCTGACGTAAACCCCACCGGGCGAAGCTGAGCTCTGCAGCTACCCGTTTGCGTTGACAACCCAAACAACAGCCCTCACAAACCGATTGATTAGAAGTTTCAGAAATATTATCGGACGCGTGCTAAACATCAAGAAGGCCAACAAGTTGTTTTTTTATCCGAGTCTTGGGAACATCAAAGGATATGCCGTGTACTCTCTCAGGGCGATTAGCAATGGCTATCAAATGGCGGGGTACGGCCTATCAACAGGGCAGCCAACAGCCCCTGGTGGATGCCTGCTGACTGGGAACTCGGTGCTAGGCTTACGAGGTACTTGGGCGATAGGCGTTTCATTGCGCGCAGCAGATGTCGCCTCGGTGGATGCCTGAGCGCTTCGGTCACGTCACCAGAACCAGTCTCGCAGCCTCAGCTCAAGGCATCCAGAGCTTCACCATTGTGCGATTCCGGCGAACCCCAATGCGCCTCGCGGTCGTCAACAGCCTTTGATACGAATTCTGCACTCTCACTGTCACAGAGCCCCCTAACCCGCTCTCAACCTCACAGGGGTGTGCACGTCGGCACAGATCCCTTGGGTTTGGGCAACCCTTGTCCCTCGCCATGGAGGCCTTCAAATCGCTCTTCGCAAAGCCTGACCCCCAGCAGCAGGTATGAGCGCAAGCCATTCGTTGATTTGCTCGGCGGGAATTGACTCACAGCTTACCTACCAGGTGCGAAAATGCAATGCATTGCTCCGCTCCAACATCCGCAAGCTCGATCGAGACATCCTCCAGGTCAAGCAGGCCGAGGCGAAGACGAAGACCCTCATCCAGCAAGCTGATAAGAGAGCCAGCCGCGACCCCCAACGAGCCGCGCAGGCGCAGAAGGAAGTGCGTGACTTCGCCCGCGAGCTTATCCGCGTGAGGAAAGCCAGCGCCCGCCTGGTGACCGCCAAAGCGCAGCTCAATAGTGTTCAGATGCAGGTCAACGAGGCCTTTGCGGTCCGCAAGATTGAAGGGTCCATCAAAGCCAGCGTCGGGGTTATGAAGGACCTCAACAGCCTGATCCGCCTCCCAGAGTTGATGGTGACCATGAGGGAGCTGAGCACCGAGCTGATGAAGGCTGGTATCATCGAGGAGATGGTTGAGGACACATTGCCCGAGGACGGCGACATGGAGCTGGAAGAGGAGGCAGAGGGTGAGGTCGACAAGGTTCTTGGGGAGATTCTCAAGGACAAGAAAGAGACCAAGTTGCCGGCGGCCCCAATACCAGAGCCCCAGAAGCCCGTGGCAGCGCAAGAGGAGGAGGAAGAGGAGGACGCCGACGTCCTCATGGATCAGATGCGAGACCGGTTAGAAGCTCTACGGAGCTAGATATAAAGCCATGTGTTGGTCGAGTGCACTTTGCACAGCTTGGGCGGTCCAGGAGTTTGTTGGCGTTGTCTATGGCGGTATTTGCGGCACATTCACTCGTTGAACATGAAGTCATATCATTGCATAATTGGCAGCATATCTTATTCCCCTCGTTCGACATGCGTGATTATTCATACTCCCCTTAAAGTGACCTGCCTAGGTTGTCCATATGGACGGATACTGACATCAATTATGGCTAACTCCCTCGACCTTGAGGTGCTTCCACCATGAGCTTCTAACTCCATCAGTGAATGGTTCAAACTCGGCTCTCATTGCCTGAATCAGTCCCAGTTCATGATAGTGATAAATAGACAAGGGTTGGTGGCATCATTGGAATGGCTGCTAGATAATATATGGTATGCAGAATAGCAGTCCATCAACCCCTGGTGGGAGCATGTTTTAAACATCATGGCCACCTTCCAGATAGTGAAGGAACAGTTGGCTTACTCTACTTCAATATGGATCCAGGGCATACGTAGGAAGCTAACATCTGATGGTAAAGTAGTCCTCATACCCGGCTGTCCCCGGTGATCAACCATGAGATGCCGGCAAGAGACCTGGATATTAATGCCTCCGGTATCGCCAAGAGGAACATACTCGTCATTGCCTAGGAAACCAACCCGGGCAAGTATCTCCGCATTGTGCCTCCGGTAAATCAGGGTTCTCGGCCAGGACGCGGGGACGAGCGATAAACGGATCGACGTGGGGTATTTGCCGTGATGGAGAGCATCGGAAACGTTGCGATGATCCCCTTCCCGAGCATTACCTAGCCTCCTCTTAGATGGCGTTAGTACACACTTCTCTCGGCCAAGTACGGAGGTAGTAGTCTCCTCCTCCTCCTTATCGAGCGACCAAGCGAGAGGACGATATTAGAGTAGCATGGCAGGTCGTCAGTCGCCCTCACATGAACAGGCACTGCATGACACTCACACGCGCACGAAGGGGCGGCGACGATGGAACGTATATATGTTACCTTAGCTTATAGATAGCACCAGAAGTCCGATAACAGGCGCTTGACAGTGGAAACAGATGTAGATCAGCCGCCTTGATAGTGGCTTGCCAGAAAGATATGGGGGTTACGCCAAAGCCCCCACGCTCACCTCAACGATTTTGGGACGGACGGAAGGGGATCCACAAGGCGAGCGAGCATGTCGGCTTTCTATCCTTGGAACTGGCCGGGTTCACACGGGTCAAAGGGCTAAACATCGCCCAGGCCATTTCCACAAGACACCCTCGGCACAGAGCTGGAATGCCCGACATTTGTAGCTTGGGGTTTGTGTCTCCGCGCGATACGCCTGAGCGTTTCAACCGGCTGACACTAGGCTGGAGGAGATCAAATGACCGCCAGTTGGGAGAGCCTTATTGTAGCGGATGACTTGCAGCAAGTGACTCAGATCGATCCCCGGCAGCAGACACACAGATAGAGCTGTGGGGAAGCCGCACATGCCGCCGATTTGGCCGGTAGGGTCGAATTTGTGTGCACACATTTGCTTGAAGCTCTACGAATGCAAGTGGCTGAAATGAAACATGGCACCCTAAAGTGCACTTTATGTAGGTAAGGCAAGGGCTTAATTTTCGCATCAATATCAACTAATATGAAAATATGAAAATAATGAATTATTATACGATATCTAGCTTGATATTATGTTTATTACTGGGTAGGTTCCATGATTATGTTGATATTGACATCGGATTTTAACATGTGCCATGTTTTTGTCAGCTGCTTGGAATGTTGACGTTGTAAATCCGGCATAATGACAAATGGATCATCGTATGCAACCCAACCATGCCTGCGATACAATACCATACCCGGGTGTGTCTCCCTCGGGATTTCGCTTTTGAGCATCTATGACCTACCCGACTGGCAAATGTGAGTGTCACCATACGTATAGGCCTGACGCGTCCGAGGTCAAGGGTAGGCTCGTGGCGATATTGAATACGATCTCGACATGTGCTTTGAGGCTGGGTGCCAGGCCTTCGGGAGGCGTTTGCTCCTGACGTCAGAGCCCAGGCAATACGCCTCGGGTGGTGACGTGGGAAATGAGACTCGCGTCGCGAAACGTGCGCAGCAAGATACTCCGTCCCTGGTGGTGTTTCTCCGAGCGTGTTGCTGATGCGCTATGTGTTGGTTGGGTGCACCGCTGGGCCGGCATCTTGGTCGCACCCGAGGGTGAGTAACCACCTAGCACAGCAAAAAAGCCATGTTTTCTCAGCTGTGAGCGAAAACGAGGCCCGGCTATGCACATGGCGGCAGGCATCTCCCTCTCTTCCGCACACCAAAATTATAGGCCGAGGGGCGTCCGCTGCCCGATCGGCCGCTTTAACCTCTAAGAGCCAATAGATTGCATCGTGGTCGGCAAAATGCCTGCATTGGAAAAAACTCCATCATTCTACCTGACTCAAGCTTGTGAAAAAAGCAAAAGCAAAAGTTTCATTGTTTCAGAGGCCGGCTCCCTGCCCTGGCGGTGAAGCACCCTAAAGGCCCTGCTCATGCCAGGGTTTGATCTACGGCAGAAAAGAGACCCTGCAGCTAGGAGTCTCCCTTGGACGGGCATGTATGCAGGTAGCCAGCGGGAATCTTGCTAGCGTTCCCGTGGGGTTTTTTTGATGGACACGTACTTACACGATTCCCATATCGCCCCCGTTACCGAAATGGCGGTGCAAGATCTGACTCACGAGCTGGACGCACAAGTATGCGGGAGGGTGCTACGTGGATGACATGTAATTAATTACATGCTGTTGGCCAGCTCGTCGTGCAGACCGCTTGGGAGAGGTGTGCCTGGTCGCGGCCAACCAGCTGAGTCGAATTACCTCCCACATCACACACACGCTAGACAACGAGGAACCGTGTACAACGCGATGCGCACGGGAGGCAACGTGTCGGGGGAAGATGTTATCGGCCTTTATGGCCCAGGTGTTCCTTGAATAGCCACGCACGGGTAAAGGGTGTGGTGCGCATACTTCCCAAGGGAGCAGGCGGCCGGCTGAGGGATTGGCTACCTAGGTAATCAATCCTGCTTCCTGATCCGCAATCCCGCAAAAGTCGGTGCGAGGCATCAAAAGGCGGCGGGTTAGTTCGACGGATTGTTCAGCAGGGTGGGATCGAACTGATGGAAAGCCCGTATTTGGTCACTGTCAGCGTCCAATACGGTGTGGCTGGCGTTACGATGTCAGCTTAGGATTCTACGGAAATACCTGTTTTGTTGATTACGATATATTGCCATTGCGTCCTCGGTGTTAATTAATTTAATGTGACTGAGACGGGCATATTACTATTTTGCGACCGGTCAGATCCCTCCGCGCCTCTCGCGACTTTTGTCGCAAAGGGAGAGGTGTGTGTGTGTCGGGCTCAGGTCAATATTGTGATACCTGTAAGGGTAGACCGTCCTTTCTAATTAATGATAGATAATGGGAAAAAAGAAAAGGGACCATGCTGTTTGGGCGCCAATATCAGGATTCAGGCGCTGGAGTTCCGTAGTGTAGGCAGGGGGAACAATTTCCTTATCCGTGCTCCCCGCAGCTAGTGACAGCTGGAAAGAGACCCCGTCAAAGAAGGTAAAACTTTGCGCCATGGCTCCCCGATTGGAAATTGCCCAAGGAGGGGACAATGTAGTTTTCTCACCGCCAAAAAAAGAAAAACAGTGAGCGGCCAGATGCCCGGGCGGTCGGTGCCCAGGCTAGTGCCCCGGAAGGGAAGAAAGTTAGAACAAAGCACAGGCCAGAAGAAGCAAAACCCAAGCGCAGGGAGGGGGTTCAGCCGAGAGATGCCCATTCACTGCCTGCCGTGGCGATGGAGTTTAGATACATCCGGCCTCGAGAGGACGCCTATGTATTGTTGTTGCTTTTTCGCCGTTGTCGCCGTCGCGCCGAGCCAGCGAATGAGGCAGTTGGGCTGGTCGGGCTTTGGCTCCAGGCTGCTCTTGGGCAGGCAGGTGTTGGCGAGCGTGCGGAACCGACCAGTGGCCGCTGATAGCGCATGTGCAACGAGCCGTAGGTGCTGAATGACTCAACGCTTTGCACACATTCGGCGAGGCAGGTCTCATCCGGCCCCCCCTCACCCCGTAGTGGTTGGGTGCCCTAGGCGCCAATCATACCGCCATAGCGGTTGGCCCTCAAGGGAGAGGCGGTCAGATGGACCTAAACACCGCTGTTTTGACCACCCATTTGGGAGGCGTGGGGGAGATAACTGGGTGCAGGGATCGGGTGCAGCGGACTGACGGATTCGTGCTCCCGGGGCTATCCCGCATGATTCGCACGCCTCGCAGCCATGTTCCCTCCTGGGCGACCGTGGCAGCCTGGCTGACGAGAGAGGAATTTATAATAGCATCACCGCCCTCGTCGGGTCAGCCCCCAAGTGCAACGTATCTTGCGTCCTCATCCCACCCAACTCTCATATTGAGTCATCATCTCTCCTGTTTGCTTAGCAACAGACGAAATCCACGACATCACAGTTACTATATGTTCTGGCCCTCGCCTCACTTGTTGCTCTAAACAAACCTGCTACGTTAAAATACCTACCATTGACGCAACTGACTCGGACCCTTGTCCATCAACCCGCGACGCGCCAAACCCCTACCCGGTAGAACACGGACCGACGACTGACCGCGGCGTCACCCACTCATCACGACTTGAGGAGCTCTTTCACACCCCCTCTAATTTCCACGTGAAATCCTGCTGGGTGCTCCGCTGGCCCATTTTATATAGATCTGGACTCACCCCCATCCCCAGATTCCCAACCTTCTGGAACAACAAGACAAGAAACCCGAACGATCTCAGCGTCGACTGAAGACCTACTTATACGACTTGGTCGAAGCCTCTCATACCATCACCGCCTCTGGCTACTAAACACAAACCGCCATCACATCACATCACAACCGCCAACATGTGGGGATCATATAGTTCATACAGCTCTATGAGCTCAACTCTTTCTACTATGCCCATGGATATCTCTTCACGAAGCGGCCTCAACGCCCGCGACTCCAGCTGCGCATTCCCATCGTGGCCTCGCCGAAGCTCTCTGGACAGCGAGGAACAGGAGCGCCCAACATCATTTCTCTCCGATGACGACCTGCTTCTTCTGGAGGACCCCTTCGAGGATGACGCCCGCAGCGTCGCAAGCTCCAGCAACTCCTCTGCCTCATCGCCTCAAGCCCAGGTCCAGCTCACTGAGGAGCAGCTCTTCCACATGCAGCGCGAGCGCCTTGCTCTGCAGCAACAGCTGATGAAGCATGTGGTTACCGAGAAGGAGCGCAAGCGACAGGCACGCAAGACGCAGCGCAAGCCTACATCTACCAAGAAGAGCAGCCCTAAGAGCAGGCTCAGCAACATGACTCCCATCCAGGAGTAAGCGACGCGCCCGCGCCCTCCCCTTGGAGGGTGCTTGCACGATTCCTACTACACGCTCTACTTGAGACACCCATCCTCAAGCGATGACACCAGCACGGCAACAGCTTCACCGAAATGGCTACGCGCCATCGGATGACGGGGGGTACGCGCAAAGGGTTTCCTGCGCAACCCGATCTGATCGCCTGCCTTGACCCGAAAGTGAAAGGTTTCTAGAAGGCCTATCCCATTGTCGCCCTCCACTCCTCCGAAAATGTGGATGGGTGGATTCGGCCAACTTCGGGATTCCACTCCGAGGGCAGGCCCCCCATGCCATGACTCACTAGCCATCACTTCGGCTCGTGGTGGAGTTTTACCGACGGAAATTCTCTTTCCCTATCAATCTTGCAGCCGACGAGGACCTGTTACGACCGGTAGGATTGCCGGTCCACCGACAGCTCCCTCGGTAAGCCTCACACCCAATCACGAAGCCGAATTACTCCAGAGTAATTCCGGACACCGCCTTTCCTCAGAGCTCTCTCACTCCCCACACACACCTGCGCGCTTCACACCCTCATCGCGGCGCACCTGCATCCGATTTCTATCTTTATTTCCTTATTCAGAGAGAGTCGGTCAAGGCGCTTTTCACTACATCAGCCATATCTTGTTTTATTTGTTTTCTCATATCTCATTACCTCATGGAGGTTGCGACGGCGCAGGACATGCATACATACACGGCATCATTGGGTTTCACGACATCACAGTAGTCGTTCGGGTTTGCATCAGAAGCAATGGGTTTACACGGTTCATTTTTACATTTTCGGCCTTAATCTTGGCCCTCGGGCATCATTCGCCCTGTTTTAGATAGATAGCATTTTTAGTCTCGAGATACCCCCCGCAACAATTCACTTCTTTCACACCTTCTCATTAAGAAAAAAAAAAAACTTTCCTGTCCCACCAAAAGTGAAATGTGTTTTTGATGCCCAAAGGATTTCCTTTCCATGTGTCATACACAGCGGCTTGCCGGGCAACCACCCGGGAAGAAGTCCGGGATGTCGTTTGGTGGGCATTATTAGCTCTGCCTCGTCTCGCGATCCTAGTCGAAGTCTTTTTTTGCCCTTATTCATTAACGGTGTGGGTGATTTCCATCGGTACCCGTTACCCTAAAATTTGCCATTGACCCAACCTCCTTGCCTCCCCCATTGAACGCCTCCACCGGGACCATGGTTCCGACGAAAGCTTCTAGAATTCCAAAACCTTCCATTCCATCTCTTCGATCTTTTTGTGGGTAGCTCCGGTTTAAGGGTTCAAGGGTTCAAGTTGGGAGCGTGGGTTTCTCGGTGCGGCGAACAACTGCCCTCGTTTGATCTCTCTTCGCCTTCAGGGCAGCAATTCGCTAGCAACTTCATTATGACTGTGGAATTTCCCCCTTTCTTCGTACATTTTTGCTCTGACATACGGCCTGTCGTATCTATGAGCCCCCGGAAAATTGGAAGGAAACGTTTCCGGCACCAAGCAAGCATCTTAGCCGTCCGGAAATTGCTTCGAGTCAGGGTTCACCAAGCCGCTAGTTCACACGTGGAAGTTCCCCGGCAATGAAGGGGCACCAAGGCCCCAGCCGTGATGCCGTAACTCTTATTCTATTGTCATTAGCGTGCGGTCCCCAAACTCCCTTACTCGCCCGGTCCCCAAGGTGGTAAGCGCAACCGATGGATGAGGGAGGAGGAGGAGTAGGAGGAGGAGGAGGGAGGAGGAGGAGGAGGGACGAGGCTACTAGCTAGCCTGCAACCTTAATCTTCGGGCTTGTGAAAATGGTAGGCCCAGCCTGGTAGGTGAGCTTGGTGAGCTATTCAACAACGTGGCAAGGTGGTGGGTGGAGGTCCGATTCCATGGTGTGTGGAGGTCCGATTCCGTGGTGTGTGGAGGTCCGATTCCGTGGTGTGTTGGGCTAGAAGGAATTCCCGCACATTCTCCGTTCGGATTGCCTTCCATCGAAGGAATTTGGAAGCCGTCGAAGGCGATGTCGTGACATACGTGGCTTGGGCTCGGGGATGGGATGTGGTGAGAGGGGGGGTGCTGTTGTTGAGTCGTATGATGGCTACTTCGGGCTGACCGCGTTGAGGCGACATTCTTAAGGGATGGCGAGACTTTGGCGAGAGAACACTACATCCAGAGCCTCGACTTCCTGGTGGTTGCCTGGTATCGATGGATTCAGCAGCGGGTTGAGCAGTCGTGATCAAGCAAGGTGGCAATCGCCACGTTTATTAAACGTGGCAAGCTAACCTAGATGTCCCTCGTCATAATCTCCGATGGCCACAAGTACTAGTCGTCATATGTAGAAGTGTTCAACTCATAAGGACCTGCGGAATCACGGAATGATAGAGTCGGAACGGTAAGTCCATCATCGTCTTGACTCCCTCCCTGCTCTATGCTTTGTTACAGTTTAAGCCTTGCTTCTTCCCGACATGTTGGACGTCATTTGGCCATCTGCCGGGAACCCTACTCGACATATGGACACTAAGGGACTAGCCTTCGTTCACTCTAATGGCGAAATTTGTCCTAGGAAGTGCATCTATGGTCTCTCTCCGCCTATGATGTGCACGATATACTCGAAGGCGTGAGAGAAAAGTGAGTCTGATGGTTTGCCCCGAGTGAACGAACAGATAAAAACCACATGCCTGTGAGTCTCAGCGAGGCTGCCCCTCTCCCCTTTTAATATGGAGGAGCTATAACCTATGTTGGCCGATGGGATCGAAGTGCTGCCGTAAGTTAAGACTGCAGGAGTTGTGATAACGTTCTATTGGGCCTCTTCCTCAGGGTAAGCTAGTGATACCACAAATCATCGAGGACTTTGACGTTGTAGGCTACATGTAGTCTCGGTGTACTATATCCTACATGTCCACCAGCGGATAAAGGGGTTGCAGGAATTGTAGAGTGAACGAGCCTCGAGCAGATATAAATTGGTTATATGAAGGTTAGGGAGGGATCTGAAGACTGATCCGACTCTCGGTAGGATGACCTAGCGAGCATCATCTTTTGACCATGGGGGTCACTGCTGCTCATCCTCCAGGAACTGATGACATGTGGTTGGTTTGGGATGCTCTTGCCCAGCGGCAAGAAAGCGTATGTATCCTGTTTTGTTTACCTTTGAGTGAGGGAAAGCGAGGTGAGGCACGAAACTCCTCGCCTTGGCTCCGACCCTTGGGCTTTGAGCTTGCCTTTGACTAAATTTTGAGAAACCCGGCGCTGTTTTCTGGCTCGAAGAAATACAGGTTGCGTCTTTTGATATCCTCGATTAACACTCTTGGTGCAGCTGGTGGAGCTTGGGCCTGGACCCGGAGGGACATTGATCTTGTGCAGGCTATTTGGTACGTTGGCGTCTGTTGGCCTTGAGTTGCTGGCGGCCGACGGAAGGGGGCAGATTGAACTATTCCTTGAGCTTGTTCTTCTGCCGCGTGAGGAAATGGTACTTCTTCTCCTTCTCCTTGCCTCCGCCTCCCAGTGACATGTCGCCCGGTCTGATCGTTGCCGCGGAGGAGTTGTCATGGAAATAAAGCGACCCATACTCGATCAATATGCTGGCACTGCGCCTGAATATATTAGGGGAATCGGAGTGCCATGAGCGATATCAGTCTAGTCGACTGTACAAATTAAAGCGGAGTTGGGATAACAGTGATGTTTCCATGGCAGAGTAGAGGAGATACAAGTAACTAAGTTTTCTATGGGCAATGGTAGATAACTAAAGCTTGAGTCTTCTAAAGTGCCTTGCCAAAGAGAGTTGCCTGGCATTTCCCATTTTGAAAGCATCTGGTAATATAATGTCTATGTTACCCATCACCAGGAACCCAACGAAGACGGAGACAAAAAACACGGATTCACCCACAGACAGAAGAATAAGCCATTTGGGGAACTGAAGTAAATGAGACTGGACTCTTTGGGTTCCAAAGAGTTGAGGAGCTGGGCCTCGCCATCATCGGCATCGGATGAAGATAAGTGAGGCCTCCATGCTACGAGGGACTAATGTCAGATGATGGACATTGCGATTACTCCTTCCTTCCAAGTCGACCAGACTTTGATAGACTGAAGCCAACTCAGAGCGGTCCGTGGAACAAGCCTTCTCGCTGCAAGCCCAGTTCTCCCAATTATCGCCGACGCTAAGTGTGGTCGACGACGGCCGTCGAGTGAGGAGATCGGGAACTCTTTGTTCGCCCTGAATCTCAAGCCTTAACGGACAATTAAATCGCATTGCGTCTCCGTGCCCCACTAGAGACCCCTTCCACGCAGTCCATGCATAGAAGGGAATCCGAGTCAAGGGAAACGAAAGAAGTCCCCGTGCTCAATCCTCAAACGGGATCGCATGGGCGCAAAACGACGCTTAGCCTGTGTCATCGTGAGGTCAGTCGCGAGAGGGATAAACATAAAGTCGATTCTGACTTAACACCGACCTCTATATATGATTATTCCTATCTAAGCAGGCGTGAGAAGCCTCGAATACCGTGCACCCGCGAGTCAGGCTGCTCTCCACCTTTTCCTGGGGTTTACCTGTAACGGCTTTGGACTCACTTGTCCATCTCGAGAAGTACGTGCAGCTCAGCTTACCCTTTCTTGGTCTCCATCAGGTCATTGTAACTGCGACCCCCGATATTAGCGATGGGATATTGTTGGACATGGCAGAAGCGAAATGCATGATCCGAGCGAGAACCTCCCCGCCTCCCCGGCAGTCCCGAACGAAAGAGACTGGATAGGGCGGAAATTGGAAAAAACAAAGTGCTACCATAATGGCGGAACGGGATCTCAATCGGGAACTACGTGCATCTTGCATGCGGCCAATTTGATGTGGGTGCATGCGGCATACATATTGCACCTATCATACGTGTAACAGTTGTCTTGCTGATAGCAAGCAAGGCCCCTAAGGAGCTTATGGGCGTGATGCAATGTACCATTGACATTGGGTTCGACGCATGCCGGCCAGGATTCCCAGTCGAAGGCTTGCGCGAGGGATGTTCTCGCATGGCAAACAGCTGCCTACCTGGCAGAACAGGCATGCACGTGGTGTTTGTGTGTTACCCGAGCGAAATGATGTTGTTCTACGTCAGAACACGAAGCTCGGCGCTCGTCGGATATTATGCTGAGCAGTTGATTGATTGAGTCTTTTAGGCGAGCTTGAATGAGGACCAGTCATATCGTTGAGAGCTGTTGATTGGCTGCGGAGTGATGTTGTTTGTTCCAATGAAAAGTAGAGGATAATCCGTGCACATGGTCAAGTGTTATGTATGCATGTACATAGCTCTACGGGACTTGGATCCCCACAATCTTCATGAATCTCCAGGTCCAAAAGCCCTCGACGCACGTTTTTGGGGCTAAGACTTCGCCACCAGGGGCGGCCAGGACTCGGCAGCGTCAACTGGTCCCCATGAAACACACTCCCGACGCCTCGACGCCTCAATCTGGCAAAACTAGCGGAGAGAGAGAGGCTGTGGCAAAGAGGACCCGATTTGCGTGGCTGCTGACCGACCAACGAACACTGGACGAATGATGGCTGAAACAGCCGAAGCTCCGTACTAGGATTCTGTCGTGGCGGCCTAAGACGGACGGCCTGCAGGGCTGGGGATTAGTTATGATCTGAGCAATCCCTTCCGTGATCCATCAAAGCCGCCTTAACACCGACCAGCCATCGGCCGGAAAACTGACCACCCATGAAATAATAGGTGGTTCGTGGTGCTGCATTGGGTAAGAGCCCTTTCTCGCTGCCGTGTGGGGAGAACACAGCAGCGTGCACGGGGTTCATGTTGGTCCAGGAACCTACAGCACCCGATATGGCTTTGACTTCATCATTGGCCCCGAGCGATGTCACGGGGTGCTATCATTATTTCCCGTGCCCTGCGCTCCATGCCGTGTGATATAGCGTGGACTGGCTAATAAAACGGACAAGAGATCTTCTCACTGTCCTTGATGTGCCAGCCCTCGAGCAATGGCCAGGCGTCATAGGGAACTGGGAGCTATGTAGATTGGTTGTTGGCCACAGCACGGCATCTGGGGCCGCTGGGGGCTGCGAGTGATGAGATCCGCCCGTTGTTCCCTGGATAACTGCGTGTGCCTGTATGCATTGATATGGCAGGTCGCGAACACTGCGGCCAGCTACTGCATCTGAAGCCTAAGTGATTAGTGATGTTGGTCGGTGATAGTCGTCGAGATTGGGGGCTGCTCCTCGCGCCGACGGGGTCCAACCCTGCTGACGAAGGATTTAGGGCCAAATGTCAAGCTCCCATGTACGAACGTCAGTCTAATCTGATCAGTAATGTTGAAGGTTCAGCGCAGATGAGGCTGGGCCTCGAAGCTGAGAATATGTAATGATGTGTGACTGGGGTGAGGCGCCGTATGCGGGCTACGCACTTGGCCGCGCACTGCTGGTTCTCGCGTGCGTGCACACTCAGAGGACCGCCCGCACTTGTCTTGCTGTGCGTGACACAGAATGTAGGCACATGCATACATGGTGCCCCCATCTAAAGTGCATGCAGCGTGCTGTGCCGACTGCTATGCATCTTGGGTAGACCTGCTGTGCTCACCAGCAGCGCCGCAATGGATTGTGTCCTGCTGTTGGCTGCAGTCGTGGGACGCCAGCCTACGTCACAGTTGGCAGGATGGGCGCTGCTCCTCCGGCCTACCTACTAGGAGGTAGACGTTCGTATAGATTCTGAAATAGAACGGCGATAAGTGCCAATTGGTATCGCACCTATGACTGGCTTGTGCCAGGATCGCTGTCGGAATGGAGACAGAGGCCGACAGCGGTGGTTGGGCATGGCACGACATGCACCGGATGAGATGTGATCTTTCAGATCTCAAGATGCGACGGCGACCGAAGCAGGTCATTCCCAACGGGGCTGGCCTGTTTCTGCTACACCGAATGAGGCAGATGCTGTTGTCGAAGTTGATGCAGGACTAGCCATACAGGAAGAGAATAGCGAGACGATCTAGGTGAGACACTTTGGGGGGGACAGCCAACAGCAGCGCCAAGGTGAGGCAGGTACTTTGCCCGCACACTCTTCCCAGCGCTGGCAGCAGGTAGAGCCATCACGGCCTGGTGCGGGCCGTATCAGGTTAGGGCAGCCGTGGTGGAGGGAGCGCCTGTGCAGTGTGCAGCAATCACAGCAGGGGGAGGGCAGCCCCCCTGGCAGACAGCGTCAGAGCGGGGGCCACTGCCACTGCCACTACCAGTGCCGCTAGGAGCAGTCTGGCGCAAGTCTGGCGCCAGACTCCAGGGAAGATAGCCCATTTTAACGGGATGGGCACTAAGGAATAGGGGCCGAGGGCGGGGCTTCTGGGTCCCCTGTCGACAGCCGTGATCAGCACTCCCATTGGTCCGTCCCGGAAACGCACTTGCATAAGTGCCGGCCAATCAGCAGGCCCAGTAGACCTCGGCGCTTCGACAGCCGCTTCGATTGAACGTCGTCGCTCAACAGCCCCGCCTTGAATCCAAGCACATCCATCGAATCCCTATCCCAGGCGCTCCAGCAATCATCCAGAGCACGAATCGACACCGCGCAGGGCCAGGACAAGCGGAGAAGCCGGCCAGTGGATGAGCCCATCTGGGTCTTCCATCGAGGCGAACGCTAGCATGGGCTGTAGTTACAGGCTATCAAGCGAGGGCGCTTTCGCCCAATGTCCTTCCTCACCCTCCTATCAACCGTTTGCCTCTCGACTACTGGCAGCCCGAGTCCTGTTCTCGTCCCATCCACAGCTTTATTGTACCACCGTAACCCCGCAAGGGGGAGGGGGGTTGTAACCGCTCAGTACACGAAACGCCAATGGGTGATACAGTACCTTGCGTGCAAATGCGTTTTGGATCTGATTGCTAGCTGACGTTACCTTTATGCTGCCATCCACCTGAGGCGCAAGGGTTTTAACACGAAGACCAGAAATAGCCCAAAAGGAAAAAAAAAGATTCCATACATAGCACGTAAAAAGACAACATGGCATGCATATTCACTGACCGACTGAATGCACTCCATACGGAGTCGGCAGATTGATGCAGCGCAGACCAAATTGGAATCAACCCAAAAAGCGCCAGCTGTTAATTACTACCCAGGTATCCATGTGGTTGTAATGGTTGTTGTCAATGAAGCCAGCACACGTGGACGGCCCATGGCGGCCTTGATATCCGACCTAGCCTGGGTCAAATTTCATGGCATCACCAGTCTGTCCGAGCGTCTGCTTCATCGCGAACAGTGCAGATGGTAGGGACAGGGACGGTGTCTATGGGCAATTTGCAGCACGACAATGAGGATGGAAACAAGCGCTCCACCCATCCGCAGCAGCCCAACCATTCATCGACGTTGCCTTTCCTTTTGTGGCTTGTCCCAAAACTGTCGGGCCAGCGATAGTCGCATGTACCTACTCAGAGGTAGGGATAGGTGCTTGCGTGAGGGGTACCCTGGGCCATGCTGCAGCTCTTTGGCCTGGATACCGGTCCGTATCCGCTCGTCGATTCCTCGAGGTCTCCATATGCGGACAGGGCTCTAATTTTATGTGGCCGACCTCTCAACCACTGACAGGCCAGTCTAGGGACCTTTAGGCGCCATCCTCTGACTTCGGCCCATCTTGGTTGCCCATCACACGTACCATACACACCTCGAGTCTACCTCCCGGTCCTGATATCCATGGCAGACCCCCAACCTTCTGTTTTATTGCTTTTTTTCCTCATTCTATTCTCCCTCCATTCTTGTTTGCTCTTTACGTGTCGTCGCATACTGCGCTTGTCAGCCCGTGCCATGTATGTATGAGTCTCTCTTGGCCTCTCACATCCCCCCTCCTCCGCTCCCACAGCCATTCCCGGCCTGCAGCTGTGAGGCGGTTAGCAGTCTAATACATTCACCCACCCACGAACGCCCTCCTAGTTGGAACCCGTACCTGCAATCCCATCCATCCCCCTTCCCTTAGACCCCAAGCTGCTGCACGAAACAAGCGCCGGGCCCCACTCGTGCTCATCGGGCAATTGCATTCGCCTGTGACCATTGCAAAAGCGCCCCGGCTCCCACACATCCTGTCGTTCCCAGACGACTTCTCCTCCTTCTCTACTCTTTCACCGTTCCTCCGCTTCTTGCATTTCAATTGTACTGTATATTTATTGTTGTACCGAGACATAGAACCCCGTGCGTCCCGAATTCCACCATCGCGACCGGTCCTACATACTGCGCCACTCAGGTCTTGTGCCGAAGCGGTGGATCACTCCGAAATAGACGGCCTCAGCGACGATCCGGTCTCGACGGGCTTAACTGGGCGGGTGATTGGAAATAAGGTAACCCGGCGAGGGTTTTGGGCAATGGGAAAGGCTGTTCTGGTCTTGTGATGGTCTATCAGTGAGAACTGCAGCGCACAGCAGAGAGGGCTCCCGGTCTGGCAGGGTTGCGCTCACTTGCATCGGTGCGGTGTGGTGGAAGTGTTGTGTCTCGTTGCACACCACCCGGACTGACTTGACGCTTCCCGTGTCGGCCAAGGGGAGTATCCCTAGAGGACATTCCCCCGACTACTGTGGCATTTCTACAGCCAACCAACAGATTTTCATTCTGGTTCTGCGAGACCAGACACACCAAAAGATATCGAGTCTGCCATGTCTGCCGCGGCCTCATCAAGGCACCGGGCCCCCTCAAAGGGCTCGGGACGGTCGACCGCCATGCGGCCTGCGCAACAACAGGAATTCGCTACCATGCCATCTGAGAGATATTTCGAGCCTTGTGCAGCCACTGGAAACATGTTTCTTTATGCTCAGGGCGCCTCCGTCATCTGTTGCCAGCATGACACCCTGAGCATAGAGAGAATATTCTCCAGTCACGCTGAGGAGATCCAGCTCCTTGCCGTGGACAACCATAGTGATCTCGGCAGTGGTCGCTTTGTGGTTAGCTACGATGCTGGCCAGACGGCAATCGTCTGGGATCTGGCGACGGGGGATGAGGTCGCCCGATTTGCATCCTACGAACATCTGACTGCTGCAGCATGGATGAAGAGCGGCAGCGTTGCCTTTGGTACGTAATAGAACTTGCGAATCCAGTCGGAGCCCGCAGCGGCTTGCGAACTAGTTTCACTGACTGAAAACGCACAGGCAATATGCAAGGAAGTATAATACTATTTGAACCAACGACGTCGGAGCATATATCATCTAGAACCTTGGACCAAATACCCGTCACATCACTAGCTCCTTCATCAGACTGCAGGACGTTTGCTATCGGGTAATAATCATTCCTCGCTAATTCTACGGACGCTTTTCTAACTGGGTTGCAGATATCAAAATGGCACACTTCTCATCGCCACCCTTCAGCCCCGCTTCACTATACTTCATAATCTCACAACATCCAGAGGACCCTCACCCTTAGTAACCTTATCTTGGCATGCCTCCTCTTCTCGTCAAAAATCCGACATGCTTGCTACGCAAACCCTCAACGGAGACCTTCGGGTGTGGAGCATCGCAAAGTCGCATTCAGCCGAGGATGCAGCCAAGGTCGTGAGGATCCTCAAGAGGTCCGAGAACTTTTCGGAAGGTCC